TGTATTAATTGGTTTATTTTCTCATCTGGGTCCATGCAAACTGGGTCCTCTTTCAACAATCGCGAGCGCATAAACGAAAGGTCTGATCGCAAAACCAGTTGTAAATGGAAATGTTCATCCATGAATGTTTGGTGAATCCGAAGCTCATCAAGTTGTTGCGTCAAAGGTTGATGCAAGTTAACATGTGCAAGGTTGGCGGCAAGATCTGCTACCGCATTTCCCTGTCGCTGCTGAAAATCTGGCACTCCAATGTTCAAAGCTTGATGGGCTTTAACCTTGCAAACTGGCAAATGATATCGGTCTTCCCAAAACAGTTTATGCAACTTCCGGAGGAGGTCAAAATTAGTTTTCTTATGCAACATGCGTATTTCAGGTGTGGCCTTGATTAGTTCATGTGAGTCAATTACATATTGGCTATCAGTCACTAAAATGGCATTGGTCCTCATTTCCTGTGCGACAACCGATGCAGTGAGTTCGGCTCTCGGAACATTTTGGCGCCCCTGGACATGTCCTACTGCGGCTGTGGTGAATGCATGATGCAAAAGCCAATGGGCATCTGTTTGATGTGTGATCGCAAGCTGAGTCAAATCCATGTGTGGGTAAACCACTGCAAACGACGCCCAACGTGTTTCTACCGCCTCTGGGTGTTTGCAAGAGCCATCAGTGAAAATAAATTCTGGCAGGTAGTGCGTGGGATGGAAAACTTCCGGCCAAGGCATAGTATGAAGCAAAAGTTTACAAAAATCAACTTCCGGGTCTGCATATGCCAGTGGCAGCAATGTGTGGATGTCATCATATTCATGAAGAAAATTGATAGCTGCCTGATGCGGTGCTCGGACAACTTCAGTGGCTGCGCAATGCAAGATACGGTGAGGAACTGAATCTAGGCCCCCACACAACTCGCAGTTCTCTGTCTGATCTTGTGCAAATTGATGTTTCTGGTAATTTGTCATGAATCCCGCTGTCATTTCAATGGCAACTATGGGCTGAGAAGATTTTGGCAGCTTGGCTAAAGCTGCACATGTCCTTCGACGTGATGGCAATGGGATAGAGGTCATACCTCTTCGGTTGGAAATACTTAAAACCACATTTCGCATCCAGTCTTCTTCGGCAGCTGTCAGTATATCTTCCAAGTTACTGTTACACAGGTTAAAGGTGGCACCAAAAGTGGTAAACAAGTCACCTTGCTTATTTAGGGTCCAACCTATCTTAGAAAGATATGCAGTAAAGGCCATGGCCGGTCCTATGACATGGGCTGCTCGGATGTTGGTCTGGACTGCAAGCTGCATGAAAAGTGAAAATTCTTCTGGTGAAGCCCACAGCAAAAAATGTCTGGCGCACTTCAATGCTTGGACAATGGTGTGAAATTCTGGGTCACAGTTGCGTCGCGTCAAACAGGAACAAGCAACATAGGACTGCACATTATGGTGATCTCCTACAAGGGCTCGTGCAGTGGCTGACCGCAACTGTGTGAAATACCTTTCACCGCATTGGTACATGTGTACTCCAAAAAGGGCTTTGGCTAACGCCGAAGAAATGGCCATGTGGGACTTGTCTTCCAATGAGTAGTCGGCATGTTGGAGTTTTCTGAGCCTTTTGAGCGCGGCTTCATGTCTTTCTTTCTGCGTTCCCCTAAAGGGTGCAAGGCGATAATGCATGATGTATCCAAGCTCTCGGGCGTGGTTGACATGTTGAAGGGAATTTTGTTCTGGGAGCAATTGGCTGGCTGCCGCCTGTAATGCTCTCTTGTGTAAAATATCTGTGCACCAGCTCCATGTCTTATGCCAATCAATGGTCAGGGAAAGAGACTGGGCAAATCTCAGCAGGCGTTGAAGGGTGTCATAATGTCGTGTGGGGTCATTGGTGTTATATGACCAGTTGTCCGCATATGCATGCAGCCAAATGTTGGGTTGCTTGACCATGGCTGTCCAGCACTGGTTAATGGCCAACATTGCTGTGACCGAAAGGCTATCGCCTTCCGGAACGCCTGTGGTGGCTTCGGGCACTGGAAAGAGTTGTCCGTTGACTTGCCAATGGCGCGTGGAGCGGCTTAAAGATGAAATCCATCTGTTCACAAAAGAGGCTGGGATCCCCAACCGAATGCAAATCTCTCGCAAAGGTGCCACCGGCACAGCATTAAAACACTTAACTATATCAAGAGTGATGCCGCCCCACTGGTGGCTACTAAATCCATGCGCCGTAGCTTCAAACTGAAGCTGGAGTCGGTAGACCTGATCTGAAGCTTGACGGCCTGGGACAAATCCGGTTATTTCCCGAGGAAGGCGGGAGCCCCAAACATCTAGTATCTTACGGGCCAACACCCGACTCCAGACTCGATAAATTAGTGGGAGAACAGTTATGGGTCTGGTGCTTTTGGGAGAAATGGCTCCTTGCTGCTTGGACACAGGCAACACTCTGGAATCCATCTGCCATTTGGGAAAACCATCCCCATAGTTGTTGTGCATGACAAACATCAGGTCACGGATGCAAATGTCCGGCAGGGACTTGAGCTCGTCTGCGGACCAGCCGCAACTGCCACGGGCTGTGGTGGACTTAACAGCTTTAATGGCTGTCAGCCAATCTTGCAAATTGGTCATGGTGATGGAAATGGTCTCATGTTGGGGGATTAACTCAAGGATTTGTTGGAATTGTGGCCACTCATGGATATGGTTCTGTTGGTCAGGCGTGTCTCTTTGCCAAAATTGGTTCCAATATTGGGACAGTTCATCACTGACCTGTTGTGGATCCGAAGTGGTGATTATCTGGGTAAGGTTATATGGTGGTGGCAATGAATCAGGTGGATCTGTGAGCATCAGCTCAATGTCAGCTCCCTGGACGTCTACGATTGTTGCGTCATGGCCATTGATCTGTACAGTTCTTAAAAGGTCCCATGGCACCTCGTCTAGTGATGTGACTGTGATTAAACCGAACTGCAACGGAGATTTCTCATTGGCAGTGGTGGTGCGATGTCTTTCAACTGTCTGAATTAACCCGGGGGAAGGTTCCCTGAGATATTTAAATGCCATTCGCTTACCAAAGCGTCGGAGGTCCTGTTGCTGCAAATATTCAGCATGGCGTTTTGCTTTGTCTTGCAGTGCGTGGGAAAAAAATCATCTGTCTGATGCTTGAGCAGCTGTTCCATGGTGTACAAATAAGTAGCCGATGGGAGGCCCTCTGGCATGGGGTGAAGTTCAGGGTGTTGGAATATCCAATAGGAGAAATTTTTGTAAAAACCCGCAGCTGCAAGGATTTTTGCCCATTCTTGGGTCAGTTGTTGGAAAAGATTTTCATCTGCAAGATTAATGACATCAGTTTTATTGAGTCTTTGTTTCAGCGATTGGATTCGACGTATCTGTCTGGTCCAATGTCTGAGTTTCATACTGGGTTGGTCGGACTGTGGTGTGTAATGCGAAGTCCATGCAGGCTTAATGGATTTGGGAAGTGGCTGTTTGGAAATAGTTCGTGGTTGGCATCGTCCCCGATACTTTCTTGGCAGGCCGTCGCATGGTTGTTGGTCTGGCATGAGTGCATGCTGTTTTTAAGGGCTGAATGCACTGCGGATTCAACTCTGCCTGCCCAAATCTGCAAAGGGTCTGTGTCTGACAATGGCTCATTGGCATCGCCATTGTGGTTATAAATTGGTTGATAAAAATCTGCGACAAAATCCCTATTGGGGCTGAGGTTGATCCATGGAGTCGGCATTTGCCAGTGTGTCGTGCAAATTTCATGGCCTGGCAATTGGAGCTGAAAAACCAATGGATTATGGCCAGCAAATCTTTTGGAATCATCAACCCAAACATGGGTCACGAGACTCGCAAGCGTGGGAGACAAAATGCAAACATCATTTTTGGTGGATGTGCCAAAGGTGTGTGGTAGCGTTTGGCCTGTGAGGTCAAAATGAAGTTCCTCTACAGTGCGAAAGCCAAGACTTCGTAGGATCTGCATAGCATCAAGTTGGTCTGGGTGGTGGTTAAAATCTCCACAGATCATGGTGGCATGGGTGGTGGTGCGGCTGGTTTGGATGACATGCTCGAACAAGGAATTTGTTCTGCCCTTTGCGAATGCTGTTGAGGCTGGGAAGCCATACATATTGCAAACTTTCACTTCTATGGTGGGAAACTGGACAAAAACTGTCTGACATCGACCGGAGTAAAACCAGTCTGAATGGTCAGGATGATGTGAATTACGGCACATGTATCTGCTGTGTACTGAGACACCTGCAGCTGCACCTCGTAAGGAGTCATCGGATGCTGAGGATAACTGAGGCGGCACTGGGTGTCCCCAGGCGCTGTGGTACCCTTTCGTTCGTAGTGCCTGGCCTTCAATGGCCTGGACTGCCTGAGTTGCAGAAGTCTCACTCAAAATGAGTAGATCAGCCGCCAAATCGACTAACTCCGGTGTTTTCCGGTATACACTTGTTGGATTGGTTACCACACAGGTAACTTGATGAACTGGGCTATCAGTTGGGTTGGGTGGCTGGCAATGCGGGCCAGGATTGCAAGCTTCACCTACTCTGACTCCATTCATCGGATGGCATCTATAGTGGGTTATGGCAGGAACTACAAGGCTTCGCTTGAAGGGTGTCATCGGATCACATTTTTCTTTTGTTATGGACAAAAACCCTTTGGGATCAGGTTGGATCTGAAAGCTTGCAGGAACTGTGTTGGTCACAGTGCTCTCTTCGTTCTGGGCAAAATTTAGACACGTCCTAAATGCATCTGGAGTGTGGCGATGATTTAACCGATGACATGGCTGAAATACCAGAATGGCAATGAGAGAACAACACATTGTTAGTGACAAGCAAGTCCAATCAAAATTGATAGAGTTGTGTCCCACATCATTGGGATGTGATCCGGTGCTAATTATGCTTTGGCATGCAAGAGGTCTTGTGGGCGGCCGCTGGGGTCATTCATGTTCATCCATCTCATCAGCCGGAGCACTGGCACGTTTGATCCCTCTTGTCTGCAAGAAAAGCGATTTGAGTTCATCCATGGAGTTGGCTAAGCGCTCATCTTGGATGTGGTCTGTCCTGGAGGTGCAGTACTAACTGTGGCAGGGGTCACTGGCTTTTGGGACCAAGGATCTAGGTGCGGATCACCTGACTTGAAAATGGCTGCTTGCGAATTGGATTTGTCCTGTTTGATCGGGGCTCTCGGTCGAGGTCCTGCTGCAATGGCTGAGGAAAGTGCTGGTGGCTTGTTGATCACCTGCTGGGCTAAGAGCGGCTGAGAGTTGAACATCAGCAGTGGTGGCGGTGGGCTGTCACTACAGATCAACCATTGCTTGGCGCCTACCGGACGCAATGGCTTGATATTCCAATCATAAGTGGAGGCCCAGGCCAGCAAAATTTCTTTGTTGGTACCTGCCGGAAGTGGCTGTACTCGGTATGTCAACGGCAAGATGCGGCCATCCGGAGGTGCTTGGTCGGGCTTGAGCTTCTGCCATGCTTGCTGATATGCCCCCGCCTCGACTCTGAGCCCTCTGGATTTGGTCCCACGGACCAACCCGGCTGCCCCAGTCAGGGCCGGCTATTTGGGGATGACTTCCCGAATCCTAACCATTCCAGTGAGGTCTCAGTGAGGTCGTTGTAATTTACCCAAATATTATGATCGTATCTAACATGTATGTGTATATATATATAATATATATATATATAAATTGATTACTCTTTTTGTATCTACGAAAAAACAGAAGAGCAAGAACAACATGTTTTATCAGACATTGTATATATTAATTGATTGTTTCCCTTAACTGCAGATGAATTTCCTGACTTCACCGAAAGAATCTCCCAAGGATGCGAAGATGACAACCACTGACAAACGGCACCTTGCAATAGGATCATGTTGTATACCCTCTGGTTATGAAAAAATAGCTATTGAAAATGGCCGGTTATAGTGGATTTTCCCATTAAAATGGTGATTTTCCATAGTTATGTTAGTTTACCAGAGGGTAGTTGAGTATGATATAGTATTTCTAATCAATTTCTCCAGCTATAGTCAGCCCAAGACGAGAGACACGTAAGTTACCACTATTTTGGTAGGATTTTACAAACTATTATCTTTTTGGATGTTGCTAACATGGTATGTATCGGTATGTGGGGTGTTGTCATCCCACCATCATTAGGAATTCCTTCGAGTGGGTATATACCATCTGGTTATTTAACAGTTCGCCATGGAAAATCACCATGCTATTAAAAGGTAAACCATCTATTTCTATGGGCCATCTATACCATGGCCATGTTAGTCATAACCAGGGTACACCCCTATGAAATCAGTGAACAAATCCTATCAATGGATTTGTGGGGCTTTCCTGACATGGGGAATATCCCGAATCGTCGTCACCTTCTGGGTTTCGTTAGTTACCAGGGCATGGACATCCTGTCATCCATTCCTTGGATGATTTGGAGCACCCCCATAACTTAGGAAACCTTCATATGTTGAGAACAATCATTGATAGATCCCACTACATTATCATTATATACCAGGCAGTTACTTCTGCCCTCCAATGGAAGCCACTTAGACCCACAGTGCCAAACGGTCACTTACAAGATCAATCATGCATAAGTGACCTCGTTTCAAGAATCCTTAAGTGACCTCTTTGCCTGGCTGATCACATGATTTCTGCGTGTCACTGCGTGTCACTTGCGTGTCACTGGGGTTTCGAGGTGGGATGAAACGAGGTCACTTAGGACCCTGAAAGGGTCACTTAAGCCTTGAAAAGGTCACTTAAGGATTGGCTGTCTGCGTGTCACCTGCGTGTCACTTGCGTGTCACTGGTAGGCCACTTTTTGGCTCGTTTCCTCAACTGACCACTTTCTACGTTTTCCTTAACTGACCTCTTTCTAAAGGCCACTTAGCAGAAAACACAAACAAGGTCACAAGGAATCGTCTGGGGGTTCCTAAAATGGGGGTACCCCAAAATCATCCATTTTAATAAGATGTTCCATGAAAAAAACCATCCAGCGATAAAGTGCTACCACTTTTAGGTTTTGCCCATCGCCTTAATGAGCTCGGGCAATAAGCCACGATAGCAGAGCAGCAAACCTTGCCTGGTTTGCTAAGGTGGTGCGATGAAAATGGAGGTTTTAATGGAAAAACCATAGGAAAACCATAGGAAAATGGAGGTTTACCCTCTGGTAATTTAACATAGCTATTGAAAATCACTATTTTTAATGGGAAAATCCACTATTAATGGTCATTTTCAATAGCTACGTTAAATTACCAGAGGGTAGATATTTTACCAGCAAAAATGGTGATCTAATGGGATCTAATGGGATTCAATGGGATTTAGATAGCTAAGTTGATGCAAATAACTTGGTTAACTACGGTTTGCGGGCGATGTAGCTATAGTATTCTTCGGGTTTACAAACCAACTGATAACTGGGGGGGCTCTCACCTTGTGGATGTATATATGGCTTATGGTCATCCCATCACGCTTCGGAAACCACTGCCGGATTGATGACCATGCCCCAATATTGGCAGGGAAAATCACCCATGCAACTTGACCTTCCAGCTGTTGGTCCATGTCAGGTTTGGGTTTGGTGCCAGTTGGTGAAAGCCTGAATTTAGCAGAGCTGAAAGCCCAAAAAAAAGTGCCATTGCTCAAAGATCCTCCTGAAATCGGATCTGAACGCGGAAACCACATCGGCTTTTGCAATGTCTCGCTGCTCATGTCGTCCAAGTTTCGATGATTCGGAATTCAAACTTACTGCGTCGAAACTCAACTAAACCCAACTAGGACAACCAGAATATCTTGTGGAGAACTTCGCTACTGACCGATAACCAACCCGAAAGTGGAACATTCATTCCTAGCATTAGATGCTGATTCTGGGATCCTACAGTAATTGGTGACCATTTTTGGCCGTTGACCCATCCCAAAAATATGAGTTGAACAGTATCATCAAATCTCAAAATAATGGCTGAACGCAAAAATAACACATTCCTCATCAACCTGTTCTCAGTGCTACTCATCCAAATGTTGAGCACCTGAAAGGCTTAAAAGTAGATGGTTTAACCCTAAAAACCATCCTACATGTCCTGCTTCCATGGCTTCAACAAATTGACCCATTCCCATAGCCATTCTAGTTGATTCACTCCCCCATCCCCCTACTGAAGTCCACCTGTTCGTGTTACAATTCCATGTTATTGTCAATTTTCATGTTACAATGTTTCAAGATTATATAGCCGTTATTAATAACCATTAGATAGCCATTTTGGTTGGTTATAGATCCCATTATCCCCATGAACCATCAAAATGAGATTCCCAGTATATCCCCATAAGAATCCTCAATTTCATGAAAATGGATTCTATTGTATCGCCATTCCACCAAAATCATCACCAGTTTAATAGTAGTAAATCCTCACTTGGAGGATCATCCCACTAAAAACTGGTGAATAACCCTAGTTGGCAAGTCCCCATTTCGTCAAATGATCCGTATTTTTATAAGGTGAACTAAGCCCTCTGATAATTTAACATAGCTATGGAAAGATCCACCATTTTTCATGGGAAAATCCACTATTTCTATGGCCATTTTCAATAGCTATGTTAGTCATAACCAGAGGGTAGGTGAACTAAGCCCACCGGTTATGACCCTGGGATGGTCCTCTTGTCCAAGGTACCAAGACCTCAGCAACGGCACCGAAAGGGCCCCGTTGTTCGACAAGAAGCTCACGGCAAGGCCCATCTGCTGCTGCCGCTTCAAGGCATCCTGAAACAGGCGAAAGGCGAAAGGCGAAAGGTCGTTTTGTTGGAGTTAACCCGGGATCTTATCATGGGTTCTTATTTTGCTGTATATGTTATATGTATATATATATATATACAGTATAACATATTACTAACTATTGCATTATCTTGAAATGTGATCACATGATAATATAATATCATGGGTTCCTCTTCTTTTGTTCATTACAAAATATCCATTTAATTATACAATGGGTTAGTTCATACAACCAATAAACCAAATGGGTTGGGTATCCGTGTTATGGTTTGTTATGCTTATTGTTATGGTTTGTTATGTTTATTGTTGTGGTTTGTTATGCTTATTGTTGTTTACTGTAAATATTGATATTATAATATATATATATACTATGCTATAGTTCTATAGCTATAAACAGGTGAGTTCAATGATATCCTTCACCAGCCTATGGGAGAAGCGTCGGAAGCTGCATCACCGAAGGTTGAGGAAAACTTGCGGCTGATCACAGATACACTTGGTGGTTTTAACTGATTGGATTGGGTTCATCAGGATTGCTGGAATGTGCTTCTAAAAAAGGAGAAAACACATATATATTATTATTATTATTATTATTATTATATATATATATACCACCAACCGGTTGAGGTCTTGTCATACAAAGACTGTACGGGTTGTAGTCTGATAATTTTAAATCAATTTGTGCATATCATTTTTATATTTTTGGTTGGTTGGGAACTGGTTTAGCTGGACAAAGGTCCTCGTTCAAAGCGAGGGTTGCTAGACTGTTCGTGGGTCCCCCCTAAAATGGAATTCCACCACATGCCATATGATCCTAAAAATACTAAACCAACATTTTAGTGGCATCCCACTTGTGATCGATATTCAGCAGTTGGTTGATCATTAACTTATGTGTATATACGTGTATGTATCAATGGGAATATGTATGTTCATAATAAATATGTATGTGTGTGTATTATATATATATATCAATATATATCAATATAATTCAATATGATTCAAATATGTATGTATATACACAATGAATTACGCTCTTAGTCATAATCTACCCAGCGCTCCTCCTACCTAGAAATCCCTCCAAGTTGATGGCCAAGAGGCGACGGGATAGAAGAGAGCCGCAGCGACTCCCCCTGCAGCACCGCCAGCCACGGCGCCATCATTTACCCAGCCGCCCAGCCTGCGAGATGAGATTTTCTTGAGACGAGTCGCTCTCCGAAGTCTGGGGAAAAATTGGAATTTACCCAAGGCGTTTTAGTGGTAACATAAATAAACCATTAGCAACATGGAATTCACCAGTGAATTTCATGGTGCCATTGGTGCCCATTGTTGTTCGCAAAGTTGGCCTGTAATTAACTCGGCCAGCGATTGGATTTATGGTCCATATACTACAGCATTAAAATCAATAGGGGTTAACAACAAACATAATTGAGTAGCACCCTCACAGTGTACGATCTTCAAGAACCAGTGCCAGAGTCACCATCAACCATAAGAGCGGGTCATAATCAACATGATCTCACTACCAGGGGTTTAAAGAGTAATAAACCCCAATTGGAAATAGTCTGTGATTGGGTTTACCTCCTTGGGTGGACATGCATGTACAAAGCCAGCTGGGTACTTAGGTCGCACCAAAAATGTACCCAATTTTCACCTGCCCTACCTGTTTGACACCGGTTAAATCGGTTGAAATTTGAGCTGGAACCTTGAAAACGAGGATGTTCAATAGAAAACTGATTTTTCTTAAACCAAGACTAAACCAAAACCAACATCGTGGCGGGACATGCGCACTTTCAGGAATGATTAACTCCACCAAAATGATTATAGAATATATGACTGCATATACATCTTGCCATGAATTTCATTCTCTTGCCTCTACCTGCATCAGCACTGTAGCTATTCCCCATCATGAATTGGGTATGGGTCAAAACCTAAGACCAGACAGAGATTTCTGGTGATTCTTGGTATCAGCCCCTCCAATCATCCCATCCCCCTGATAAACACCACCTGAATGGTCCCAATTGTGTGGAAATTCACAACCAAAAACCATGGTTTCGAACGGGGGTGTAGCCATTGTCTTGCACTCTCTACCCGAGTTCATCTCTTTTCTCCAAAAAAATGCACCCTGATCCCTCGCCTAGAGGAAACAACTGATGGGATGGGCGATTGTTTGAAAAGGTCTCGCAGATAAAAGCAACCTACGCGGCATTGTGAAGATTGTTTTCAGCGGTCGCTACATCCTAATCATTCCCAATCCCTGCGTGGGCTTGTGCAAAAATAGGATACCCCTATTTGTGTATCGCATCATGCGATATGGAGGCGGATCCCCCATTTTGAAAAACCACCATATCAGTTTCATATCAGCCGCAAATTGGGGTTCCCATTGCTGGACAAACCCGAAGCCGAAGCATGTTTTTGGAAGGTCAATGACTGGTATACCATCTACATCCACCTGGAATAGTGTAGGGGGTAGTGCTCTATCAACTAACCAGTGGGAAAAGGGCATCTTCGTAGCTGTGACATGCAAAACCTTTAAATTCTCACCAAAGGGTCTGACAAAATGGAGACAGGTATCAATGGCGAGACTCAGTTTTTGTTGAACGAAAACAGGAACAACCAATAAGCGAGAGGATTTGTTTCCCCAAATCATTGAAAATAGATTGAAATGGCTACAAACCAGCCAATCGGTTGCATTCATCTATGCACCATCTACAGTATGCTATGTCTTTCGAACGGCAAACAAATCACAACCCAACCGGCCAAGGGTCCAAGAAAAGGCGAGATGTAGCGATAAATCTGAGATAAATCTGAAATTAGGTCAGTTTCGATCATCTTTTCTGTTACCGTACTTTCGATATGAAAACAAGGTGAGAATTTCAGGTACCCTCTGGTAAACTAACATAGCTATTGAAAATGGCCATTTATAGTGAGTTTTCCCATTAAAAATGGTGATTTTCCATCGCTATGTTAGTTTACCAGAGGGTAATTTTTTAGGTTTGCCAATTCTTCTGGAACTCTTTTGAGGCTCAAGTTGATCATCTTGGCAAAACTCAAACTGCATTTTGCAAACTGCAACATTTTGAGGCCACCTCCACCACTACAACCTCCACCATCACCACAAAAGAGACATTTTTTCGGATGATTTCTTCAGCAGCTCATGCCACATTTGCTCGACCGAGGAACATGCCACGTTTGGCACGACAGTCACTACAGTGATCCGAAAGCCAGCCTCAGCATGCTGAATGAAACATCGCGGGCGCTGAGAAGCTACAAAAAGGTACAACTGCTTGGTACAAAAAAAAGGGCCCAGTTACACTCACAAGTCGACGTATACGTACATCCCACTGTAATTGGTGTTTTACAGAGTAGCAGCGAGTAGCATGACTAGTTAGTTTGAAGTATGATTGTGACTCGCTCATGGGTGTCAGGGTGCCCTTGTTGGATCTGCGCGTTTTCTGCGAGTCCTCTGGTTGCGGCTGGTGGAAAACCGTGGCTGATAGCCCGCAAATGGGCAAAACATATCGACCAACAATTCAACCCCTAAACAAATTAAAAAATGAATCAGACACAATTTGTTTTGGACTGCTTACTGTAGTTGCAGGCACGTCTATGTTTGTCACCATCAGCGATCAATTGACACAGACCTCATTGTGCATTCCGCCTACCTTGAAAATGTTGGAGCAACACAAGGATCGAAATATATCATTAATCATTGACATGTGCTATGCAAGTCTGCGTAAATATGCATGTTGAAAGCAAAATAGAACGTCGCATACGTCCACGGCTCAAACTCTATGCTGCCAAATATATATATATATATATATATATGTGCCAAAATGTATACAAACACACAACTTGATTCACATAAATATACGTAGCGTATAAGACCATATAAGTAATGTTTTTGATTCAGGACATCTATGGATATTTACGCATATCCTGAGTAAATTTGGACAAAGTGTCATGATTCACATAGTGCACATCCATTTATGAAATGATATCAGGTCAGCCATGGAGTGGCTAAAGATGATTCAGAATTGCACAGGAAGATATTCTCTGCACATGTTCCCTGGGAATATCTACAGAGGTCCAAAAAGAAGCGCCAACAAAACCCATCAAAATGTGTATCTGTGTGTGTGTGCTTTAGAAAAAATATAGCCATATTGGCTGCGAAGAATCCCAACGTTTGTTGGTTAGAAGTTAGAAGTTGGAATACCCACGGGTGCATTAATAACTATTTTGTGTTGCTTAAAAACCTCCATATTTGCTTGATATTGGTTAGTTAAAATGTGTTAAAATCCAGATTTGTTGTTGGTTTAAATGCGCATAATAATCCCTTCCTCCCAATATGAAGAAACCACCCAAACGAAACCCTTGTTGAGTATTGGATCTGTTCATTTTTAGGAGCAATATGGAGGGTATCCAATATGACTAGAGGAAAGGAATCTGTCGTCGGAATTCCAGCCAAGATCAAGATTCTCACCGGGGAACACCCAACACCAACCCCCCACCGGGTATCGTGACCCTGAACGCCTTGCGCCCCCCAGCTACGCCAAGAGACGAAGAAGGCACCAAGGCCCTCTTCCATGTGAATCTTGGAGACCTTGGAGAGGTTGAGGTGCCATGGATTCCGATTGCTTTCTTCGAGTGATCCCCACCATGGCATATTAAAACAGACATCTTATCTGAATTTATCTGACATATATTCTGGCATTCTATCTGCTCGAATATATCTGACATCTATTCGGACATTCTATGTGACATAAATTCTGACATACTATCTGGCATTCCATCTGATATATGCTGGCATTCTGGCATATTCAGACACTCCATCTGCCACACATTCTGACATGAAAAATCTAAACCTTTGTCTGGAATTGTATCTGCCATTCCATTTGACATTCTGAATCTAGGCTTCGGGTCCGGCCGAGACCATCACCTGGTAGAAAAACTGATGGATTACACCACTGAATGGATTAAAAAGCGCCCCAGGTTTCACCCTTGCTAAGTAGGTGGAAAGATAGCTGAACTGTTGGGTTTATGGCGGAGATATCGGCCGCTTGAGGGCAGCTTCGGAGATTTCTTCGGTGTCCGAATGAAGGATCATCCCAATTCCAAACATCCGAAACTGCTTGGGATTTGGTGATTATGACCCACTTACAATGGGATTGGGTCCCACTTAAGACTTCACCAGGGCTACCAGTTTCTTTCGATGATCCTCCCAGCCCACGTTTTTTGTGGCAAGCTAGATTTTGTAGGTGAATGTTCCCCAATTCACATGGCTTAATGTCACCATTGGTTGTTCGTTTGTAGCCCATGTTTGTGGTATATCTCCATCTGTGTTGGTCAATGTCTCCGTTTTTGTCAGTTAAAACCGCGTGTCTTTGCTGGTCAAAATTGATTCTTTCGTGACCTCATCGGCAGGCTCTGAGATGGCGATGTTTCACTTTCACGCGTCAGAAATGACGATGTCATAGAACAAACTGGGGACTAACATCTGGTTATTTAACATAGCCATGTAAAATCACCATGCTATTAATTACGGTAAACCATCTATAAATGGGCCATTTCCCATGGCTATGTTGAATAATCAGATGGTAACATTGCTGTTTCCAAATCACAAGGAGTGGCTTGGTTTGGAGCGGGATTTGTATGATGTTCACATGTCAATTTGCCAGTTGTGATCCATCTTTTTTTAACCACGTCTGCCATTGATGGCGACTTGCCCCAACTATCCATGGTCAACCGGTAGCAGTCAGCTTGCTCTGGGCCGGTACGCTGATTCAGGTACCAGAAGGCCAGAACATATTTGGATCCGAGTTTCTATGGAAGCGTTTAGGGCGTAAATTATGGGTAAATCAGCTCGGGCTATATCAAAAAACTCACCAATTGGGATCATGGCAGTTTTTCTGGTTTGGCGCATCTTAGAGCCATGCCCAAAGATTCCTCTGAGGGCCTGACTGTTTTGAGAATTCCACTATATCCAAATCCTCAGCGCGCACAGCTGTATCGCAACCCCCCCAAAAAAAATAGAAACGTTGGACACCTTGAAGTTATAGTGAAAAAATCCTCTGTAAAACTTTTCTAGAAGGCATGATGACAGGATCTACACCCAGTTTGAAGCTGACAGCGGTGATACTGACGCTCGCGTCAAAACTAGGAAAAGATAGTAAGGGCCAAGTGCGGTTATCCGTGTGTCTGAACATGGGCTGTACCCTCAATCTATGGCAATTTTGACGGTGAAAATTGCGATTAACATTGATTAACCCATGGAAAATTGGAGGCTACCCATTTCAGACACAGCCATACGAGGAATGGCTTCAGCCGTAGCACATCATTTCAGAGACGGCGACGTGGCGAAAAAGGATTTACCCAGAATGGATGGTTGAAATATTGAGACTTCCTAGATAAATAAGTTGCTATGTATGGGCACATGTGTGTGTGTGTGTACAACAATAACTAGGATTTATATGGATTTATGATGTCTACAGTATATCTATAGTTGATATAGTTGGGGTCATAAACCAACTTCTAGCTGTGTTGCCAGTGTTGCTCCTTCCTGTACAGTAGGTGGTTTCATATTGTCATTAATCCCTTCCCGCCAATACTAACCCCCCCCTCCCCAAATCATAAACACCTCAGGTAGTTTCTAAAATTAGAGATGGACCCTAGTTTTTATTATTTTGGGGGGGTAGTAATAGGGGGAAGGGATTACACAAGATTCGATACAGCCATGATGATTGCAACCGATGGCCTCAGTGAGTTCTCAATTTTTGAGTAGACTATCTGGCTGGTACGCGCCACCTACATGTGGGTCATGTTTGATCACCACTGTTGGGTAAATATGTGTTCAGTGGATATTAACTGGTTGGTGGTATACCTACCCCTCTGAAAAATGATGGAGTGAAAGTCAGTTGGGATGATGAAATTCCCAATATATGGAAAAAATAAACTTCATGTTCCAAACCACCAATCAATTAGTAGTTGGCCACCATTCTTAGTAGGTAAATCAACTATAAATATCTATAAATGGCCATTTTCCATAGCTGTGTTAGTTTACCAGATATATTAAGTACAAACATAGAGCCTATGCTTGGAGCTGTTGGATGGTTTCGATTCAAATCGGATCAGCCATGATCAGCTGGAAAAAAATTGCCCGCCAGAGGCCCTGATCGCCATGGGTCCCAAAAACATGAATGATCAGTTGGCTTTACACAATATACCACGATATACTTATCATCACTTCTCCAAAAATGTCCAAACAATGTTTCTTTTAATGCTGCGTATTATATATATATACATATTATATATATATATTATATATATACCATGCATGTACAGACCCTATCTGTTTTTTTCTTGCCCATATGCCAACGGCGGCCGGTGGCTGGACATGTCAATGGGATGTCAATGGGATATAGCCCCAATGTTGCCATGTCATATCATTGGGATTCAATAGGGATAATGATGATTGACATTGTTTGACCAGTGGATGGAATGGGGTCATAAAAAAATCTTCAAAATCTTCAAATGTTCAGAGAAAATCAGAGAAATCCAACAACAGCTTGTCCAGAGTGCTGGCACTGATGGCTGAGGATCCGATGTGAGGTTCATTTGAAACAAATGAAGCTAGACCGATGAAAAAAAACACACAACTCTTTGGTGGTTGTATTGTAACCCCTGTGAAAAAAACGTTTTTCAAAAAGTCAGTTGGGATCATTCTGGGGGTGGAAAATAGATGAAAATAGACATACCCTCTGGTAAACTAACAGTTTGCTATTGAAAATGGCCCAGTCAAAATAGTGGATTTACCCATTAAAAATGGTGAATCTTTCCATATAGTTATGTAAACGTTTACCAGAGGCTATTTGAAGCCAGGGCCACAGGCTGACCTCAGCACCCCCGATTGACTGATGTCGCCCAGCGTCGCTTCGCCGCGCTGAGGCGCGTTTTCACCACATCGATAGGATGACCGACGCCTAGAGTCAATGGAAAGGTCGACCATCTCAAATAGAGCACCCAAAACATTGCCAGAAAGCAGCCAATTTGGGTACAGTACAGTAATATTAACAGTATGTGTCATTTCCATGTGTCATTTCCACATGGTGAAATGAGGTGTTCAAAAACGTTTTCACACTAGTTGGCTGGGATTAATGGATCTTCATTCGGACGCCATGGCCGATTTCCGTCACCAGCCTACATGGTCAATCGTGCTGTTGCTTGGTATCATCCGTTGTGGTTCCGGGTTCTCCGTGGTGATTCTCCGTGTAACATCGTGTTTTTACTGTTTTGCAGTCTACAAATTGCTCAGTGACGCCCCGTTTTGGTGTTTTTACTGCTCCCAGATCTCGGGGGACTAACCAGACCTACCCCCTGGGATGATCACGTGGCGAAAAAAGGCCTCCCACTTTCTTTGGCACGGTTCCACTAATTTTGCTGTGGGTTAGAAAAAAAAAGACATATTTCTAGGGGCCGCATATCCCAAGTTATGGAGGTAATATGAGGTAATTATGGTATAATTATGAATACCCCCTGGCCTGTACCCTTCAAGAAGTGATTCTGTGGGTCCGGTACAGTCACTTTTGGATACCAAGTGGTGGCTATGATTGTGGCCTTAATCTGCTAGCAGTGAGGAGTGAAGGGATCCTTTACCGCTCGTGACCAAGAAACATGTGGATCACGGATCGCATTCCCAACTTTGAAACATATGGCCTTGAGAATCAAACAAAACCAAACGAAAGTCAACCATGCGATTTCATGCCATCTTATGAATTTCAAGAATCAAATTTGCACTTAAAACTGCTTAAATCCTTCATGGTCGTTCCATTCTCCCATTCTCCCTTTGCGTTTTTTCATTTTTGTTCCAGTTCTCCGAGGTACAAACACCTGCGAAGGATCCTCCAAAAGCACTGATCATGCTTCGGACATTGTCTGAGCACCTGGACCCCGGAGGCCCCGATCAACAGGAGAACGGACATGGCCATAAGTGCAACTCCAACTATACAATCATACTATGAAATCTATTATGTATAATAATAATAGTATAAATATATAATATTATATTATTATATAATGCATAGACTTTCTAGACTTAGAGTCGTTAGCTCGTAGGGAATTTAATCCATTGTCCTACTGTGGGAGTGAGGAAGCCCGTGGGACCCTCAATGTCACCAACCATCAGTCATGATGGATCTCCGGGACCCCCCCATGTTTCTAACACCGCATCTGCGTCTGGCAGCCGCACAGTAAAGTGTTGTGATTCAATCCCCAGAGTAAAGTCGGTCCATTCCTGTCTTTTATAACATGTACGTATATCAATGTATGTCATGGTACAGTATGTCTCTGATTCCAACAACAGCTCTGATTATTCAAACGAAGTGCAAAGTGGTATTGGGGTGTGGGTTGCAAGCCCCTTAAAAAAAAGGTACCAAGTGATATCACCAAGCGCTTGCCATCGAAGATTGGAAGTCCCTATCAAAATCCGTAACGGATTTGCTCGGTTTTTCCCCATCAATCAATGTGAATTTCACAGTTCGAATGTTGCAAGGTGCATGTCTGATGCTTCGCAATTCCTGTTGGTGAACTATCCTCCATTGTTCTTCGTCAAATCCGCAATCCTTTGGTCAAGTCACTATTTCTGTTGGTTCAGTCCTCCATTCTTGCTCATATCCACGTTGGTCAAATCCACATTTAACCACAATTATGTTGGCTTGATAATTTCCATGTTTGTTGGTTAAATCCCCTTCTCCGTGCATGAAATCATCATTTTTTATGGTTCAACCCCGTCTTCGATGGGAAAAACACACTATGTCTGATCCAGATTCTAAAAATTTGGCAAAACAAAACATGGACATCTGGAAACCCCAATAAAATCCTTATAGGAAACCCCCAATAACATCCCGTCCGATCGCCGCGGTATTTTTTCGGGGCACCCATGAACATGGCTCTTGCAGAGCTCGTTGATCGGGAAGTTCACACAGTTCACCACGGCACGATGCCACAGGGTCGCCATATTGCCTACCCGACAGGAACCCAGCCAGTTCTTTTGCCAAGGGCCGGGCACGGGTAGAAAATTGGCCTAAAAAAATATGGGATGATTCATGGGATTTCGCCATGAACGATTGGAATCTAGTCATGACCAAATTATTGGGATTTAACTGGATTACATATGAAAAGCTGGAATGAAAAATGAGCAAGCCATCAAAAACGGTGGTTGCACTAGCATTGTTCTGCATGTGTTCGAAAGGAATTAGGAGCGGAAAAAGGAGACATGACTTGACAGGGTTAAAAATCCACCAGTAAAAATATGTAAATTATCCTGGTAGATCATCCCATATATTATGGAAAATAAAAAATGCTTGAAACCACCAACCAGTATCGTTCTGTTAAAAAATGGGATTATCCATTGACATGTTTGTTTAAAGTTTACACTGGATCTTTGAGATTACATCCTGGGCAATACGATGAAACCCTTGAGCCTTGATGGACCGGGATGGAGTTGCCCATTTTTGACAGAAACCCACATGATCAATGCAACCAATCACAACCAACAACCCACAACCAACAACAAACAGCAAACAACAAACAACAACAGGAAAGAAGAATGCTGATAACTATGATGATAGGAATAATAGTGTCCACTCGTGCTTCGCTGGGCAATTTGAGGACCATTCCCAGTCCCAGATCGCAAGCATTTCGGTCATTGGTCGCTGCGAAGTCACAGAACATGACCCAAACACGATATAACAAACAAATGGAATCGTAGAAGTTTTCTCCAACAGAAAGGTCCATCTATCACAAATCAGTTTTGGTGGCTGAAATATCTATTTCTGCTTCGTGAAAAACCCTAAGTTTGCCCACTTCCAAAGAACACACCCTGACAATATGTTATAATCTTACTAAACGCAGCGTTTTTCACTGAAGGTCTTTAGAATTTAGGGTTTACAGGTTTAGTGTGTCAGGGTTTAGAGTCTTAGGATTTTAGGGATTAGGGTTTCAGGGATGTGGTCTTTCAGGGATGTGGTCCCGGAACCCTGAGCATCTCAAGGATATGCGGAATCGGTGCTGGGCAAATCGTAGCCTAAAAACAGCGGTAATTTTTTTCTAGTACCATACTCTAGGCATCCTGAAGTATATAGAATCTGGAAGTTTCAAACATATTGCCATTTTGGTGAAGATGTTTTGAAAATTCTACATCTACTCCAGGATGACTATAGTTCTATAATGGGGGTTAACCTTTAAACATTGAAACTCTGGATTTCACCGTAAAAAAAAAACAGGATTTCACCACCACCCAAAACCCAGGCCTCGCCAAAAGGCTGGCAGACCTCCTTCACGCCAGATGCCCCGCATGGTCGTGAACATATCTGAGAGATTGCGGATCAGTCAACGGTGAACTGCCACCAAACTGGAAAAATATGAAAAATTTGCCACCAAACTTGGGGACTCGACCATCCAAGTTATCGGGATTGGTATGTTACTATTACTATTATTATATATGTATGTATGTATGTATGTATGTATGTATGTATGTATGTATGTATGTATGTATGTATGTATGTATGTATGTATGTATGTATGTATGTATGTGATGTAATGTTTTTTCACACTAAGTCATATAATGTTATGTTATGTTACATCATGTATGTCTGTATGTATGTATGTATGTGCGTATCTGCGTATGTGTGTATGTGTATGTATGTATGTATGTATGTATGTATGTATGTATGTATGTATGTATGTATGTATGTAGTATGTATGTATGTATGTATGTATGTATGTATGTATGTATGTATGTATGTATGTATGTATGTATGTATGTATGTATGTATGTATGTATGTATGTATGTATGTATGTATTATGTATGTATGTATGTATGTATGTATGTATGTATGTATGTATGTATGTATGTATGTATGTATGTATGTATGTATGTATGTATGTATGTATGTATGTATGTATGTATGTATGTATGTATGTAATGTATGTAATGTATGTAATGTATGTATGTATATATGTATATGTTACAAAATATAATATGATATGTATATTACATATATCTATAATATAAGATAGTATTATATTACACACACGCATACATATATATATATATATGTATATATATATATGTGTATATATATATATATTGATTGATTTAAGCATTGATTTTAAGAGGGAACATGATGACCAGCCATAAGAAGTGGGGGTGCCCTATCTGGATTTAGCCAACAAAGTCACAGAGGCTCAAAACCAAGCACTTTAGAGGGATATCATCGAGGTTTTTGGGGTGTTAATGTGGGGCATTCCCCCAAAATGGCTATCTCAGATAGGGTAAAATGCTGATCATAAGACATTGGGGCTGGGTAAATTATAGTATTTCACTAACCTGAATAGTTGGGCCATTTGGGGGTGATTTCCCTCAATCTAACCATGATTCCGGGGCTCGGTCGCAGTGAGGTCGTGACCAAATTTACCCAGATTGGGCTACTGTACCCTGTGAGGCAAAGCCAGATGATTCAACTCAACCAGACAAGCCATGCCTAAAAACTAGCCATGCCATGTGGAGATTTTGGCATCGGAATTGAATCAGTTACCCGGCCTGGTAATGACTAACAGTTTGCTATTGAAAATACCACATTTATAGTTGATTTACCTATTCAAAATAAAGATTTTCTATAGCTATGTTAGTTTACCAGAGAGTAATCATACTTGATGTTGAATAGTGGATTTGGATCTGTCTAAAAGTTAGGGGAACCCAAAAAAACAAGATAGGGCTATTGTTTAATGGGAACGTGATTTTCTAAATCATGAGATTTTGATTTTGGGGCACCAATCACCTTCCGGTCCCAGATATACTTGGTGAGTGATACCCTGTTATATCTCCCATTACTATCCCAGAAAATCCCAAGCAACTATTAGGAGCAGTGGTTAAATGAGATTTAAATTTCCATTAAGATCCCATTTAACCATTTAAATTGAAATCCCAACGGTTAAAGTTCCATGAGTTTCCCCCTTTCTGGAGGAAATCTAAGACGAATCTAAGAGGAATCTGATTCTGGTCGCCTGACAAGGGGCAAATCTGAACACCAGGGAGTTGAATCAGTGAATCAGTGAAGCATCTGTCATTTTTGATGGCGCTATCAACTAACATGGCCCTATGGGCGGGCACCAACCTGAACCTGTTCGATTTTCATAAGAAAGGAACAGCCCCAATCAGATTTCTGTGTGTATCTATCCTTCTGGATGTATCCACGATTTTTTCCATCTGAAAGATACAAGGTGCCCCCCACACTTCGATTGAAGTTGGTCGAGCTTCATCCATCCAACTATACAGATCCAGCATAGACCCAACCGTCAAGCTAGTTAGGTCAGCTTAGCAAAGTGACTGGGGCACCGAAATCCATTATTCAGTAGGCAGTGTCTCTATGTTTGTTGGTCAAATCCCTACATTTCTTGGTTAGATCATGTCATATCCCTATGTTTGTTGTTTAAATCCCTATTTTTGTTGGTTAAATCATGTTCAATCCATATATTTGTTGGTTAAATCTCCTATCTTTTCCAGGCTCCCCGTGTATTTTTGTTGGTCAAAAGGACGACCCCTGCGCTGCAGCTTCGCTGCTCCCAGTGTCTTGATGCAGGGAATGCAGCTGCATCTGGATCACCTCAGCTGTTCATCTCAAACCGGCTGTGCATATGAATGCACAATATTCAATCTTATACATATATTATACATATAATACATATGTATATATATATATATACATAAATATCATTGTATTATATGTTGCATGAAATAGATACGGTATATGTTAACTTGGCAAATATGTTGCTTCAAGCAATAAAGATGGTGACGTAGTTCGTGACCCTTCTCAGCAAGTATATAGTTGATCGCACTGGGATCGCCCCCAGAGTCTGGGATGGCGCAATGGCTGATATTCAACACATGGAAATACACGAGATGAAGGAAAATCCAGATCTTCAGGCTTGGGGCCCCTTTGGGTTCGGGGTTTCTGGGCGATCCACATTGGTGTTTTTTTTAGCATTGCTGATGTTGATGTTGATAATGATGTCAATGTTGATGCAAACAATGATATTACTTCCGGGTCCGCGCAAACCGAAAGCTTACTACCATCTACCCTCAGTACCCACCTACAAATTATATCCAATTATATAATTGGAATGCACCCCCAAGTAATATAAGTATAAATAAGAATTGGAAATCCCATTTTTTTCGGGCTGAAATTTATCATCGATGGATGGGAGTTCGATGTTTCTGTAAGCCTCGACCTGGGGACCGGATACTGAAGGAAAGATGGGATTCGGAATGGGTATCTCAACGGAATTTCAGGTAGCAGTTCGTTTATGGGTCATAAAGTACGCATGACCCAACCGAATGCGGTCCTTCTCAAAGTAATGTAGGTAAAACAATGCCATTTGCACCATCCCCCAGTCATCACCGTTTTTATAGGTGGTATAAACTTACCATTCCCAGTCATGGGTGGTTTATGGCATTGTTTTACCCACATTACAACCAAAGAATATCAATCAATAATCACCAATAATCTTTATTTTCATCTGGTATATGACCATATATAACCATATAGAACTCCAACCGTTGGTTTCAACCGTTGGTTTCAGAATACCAAGCGAGTTCACCCTGGCGCCCGGCATCCGCCGCGGCATCCGCCGCGGCACTGTTCGACTCAACGGTGCCACGCAGGTCTTTGCCACGCAGCCAGAGAAACCCCCGGAGATGGCCATAGCTAGGCTGGCATCCTGTGGTCGCCAAAAAAAACTGGCTGAACCATGGCTGAACCATGGCCGAAATTGGCCGGTGGACCGAGCATTTTAAGTGGATGTGGTGACATGAAAATAGCTGGAAACATTCTTTAGCGACTTAAAAGTGGAAATCAAAATCAAACAGTTGGATTTAAGTGCCAAAAATATGATGTTGGTCACCACAAAAAGTTGATTCAACCCACCAAAATGGGGATTAAGCCAACACAAAATATGGGATTTGCTGTTGTTGCTACCCTCTGATAATCTCTGATAATGCAACCTGGCAACATCTTGAATAGAAACACAATGAAAATGAATTGCCAGGTTCCGTCACTCGGTGTGTTCATTCCATACTAACCAGAAATGCTTCTGCAGAGGTGAAAAACAATACCGAATAGGAACATACCCTGAGGTAAACTAACATAGCTGTGGAAAATCACATAGTTTCCCTAGGAAAATGATGTATCTCTTCTGTATTCACATGACTCATTCGTAGTTGCCTGTATGCTAAAGGTATCTAAATCTAGGTATGATGCAGTATATCAGAATATCTATAAATGATATCATACATGTATATAAAAATGAGATGAGATATGTGATATACGATATATGGTGTGTGTGTGTGATATATATGGTGTGTGTGTGTGTGATATATATGATATATGGTATATGATATATGTTGGACAGTATGATGCATATGTATATATTATACATATTATTTCTATTCTGTATATAATATATATATATATATAAATCTGATATATATATATATATACATTACGGTATATCATACATCGCATATGACATTGGATATATGATATATGTGATATGTGATATCTGTGGTATGTTATATGTGTGTCACGGGATGTATCAAATACGGAGATGTGTGTATACACACATATATATATATATACGTATATACAGATGCATATCATAACTGACTATCATTGAGTGGTATCTCCGCATGTATATCATAATAATATCGTTATATATCCTATGGTTTCACCCACGCGCCGGACCACAAGGAACCACCATCACCACCATCACGATAATCATTACCACTACTATCACTACTATCACTACTACCACTAGTTATTACCACTATTACCACCATTGCCATGACCATAATCAGTATCACTTCAGTATAATTTTATCAACTTAGCCTCTTGTCAGTTCACATAGCTATGGAAAATGGACCCTTCGTAGATGATGTTTGATGATTTGCCTATTAAACTTGGTGTTTTTCCATAGCTACTTTAAATTAACCAGAGAGTACATTCCTATGAATGTTGCTTAACTCCCCATGATTGAAGCAAAAAACTGCACCTCTCCTTGATGACAGGCGAGCTTGCGCGGCTTACGCTGAGTTTGCGTTTCAAGGCCACTTCTGGCCCTGGCAACTGGGCTTTCTGCTTGTGAAGTGGCAACTGAATAGATCTAGATGATCTGCCTGGGGTAAATGATAGCTGGTTAATGGATGTTTCTCGTTGGTTTACATGGGATGTCTATTCCCCCATTCATATGGTCATAAGAGGTTTTGACCCATCCCCATATGGGAAAAAACATATTTCACTAACCTGAAATGTTGGCCCAGCTATGGGGATGATTCCCCTATACATTAAACATCATTCCAGGGTTCGGTTACAGTGAGGTCACTATAATTTGCCCAGGCAGATATCTTTCACCAAGTTCTGTGCGAGTTTTCTAAGTATCAAACAGTTTGGCAAAATGATTTCCGAAACTGTGATATCTGCACAATTTGCAAAATACATTTGAATCATGGTGGATGATTTCCTGCAGCATCATGTGCATTCCATGGTTGCTTGCGATCGCGATCGTGCTTTGGCCGAATCCTCTGTAACTTTGTCATTCGGATTTTTTAGGTTACACTCCAGTAGGCCAACATAAAAGTGGAAAATGAAAGATTCATAGATTGTGTTGGTTTACAAGTAGTACTTCATAGCGATGGAAAATGAAAAATTCATAGACATTGTGACATGATAATGGAACCAATATAAATATGGAAAATGAAAGATTCTTAGATTATTTCCTACAAGTAGGGAAGCCCAACAATTTCCATTGCTATGTTGGTTTACTGCAGAGATTACGGTACCACAGACCTAGAGACCATCTGGGGCACGACACGACATGGGTCATCCCATTAAATCACTGTTTTGTCGAAAGTGGTGCATCCAAGTAGTGCTGGAAAATATGCAAAAGTGGGTGTGTCTGAAAATTGGCAACAAATCCCCATGCATATCAATTCTAAAATAAATTCTAGTTGGGAACATCATCATAAATTTTGGATGAATGAATGGTATGGTTGCTTAATGGTTTTGTATCGAGTACCCCCTATTTTCGGACAAGACGACCACATGCTTTGACCTGTTCACACGACCAGCGTGGCGCAAGAGTTTCAGGTCACAAATCATTTGGATAGAGAGAGATCAATGGAGGGTCCCATGATCAGCTTGGAAAACAAATTTAAGAGTTCATAGATCTCAAAGGAGACGCAGCAGTTCTGATCATAGTTGCCTATATAGTTGTTACTCTCGCTTCTGATCTCATTTGCACATATTTGGACTAATTATGCATTCATGTCAAAACTCAAACCCAAGATTTGGCCATGGTGGTCTTAAGCATTCGGTTTTGTTGGTTTCCCAAAATTGTGATTTTTGGTCAGTCCATACAACCTTCATGGGATCCTTGGGGTTTCCCGTTTCCATTTAAGCAAACCATGGCAAACCATCCAAAAACAAACAAATTACATGATTCTACATGATTTGACTGTGAAAAATGATAATTTTCTCCCAAAAAAACAGGTTTCACGCCGTTTCCCATGGCGTGGGTGCCTCTTGGGAGCTCGGTCCCGATGGCCCTCTCAGCCGTCACCATGGACCTGCTGAATCTATGCGGAAATAACTATGGATATGGAAGTTTCCTACAATGGGGGTACCCCAATATCATCCAATATCTGGATGATAGGAAAAATCGGCTGGATCATAAATGGAAATGTCATTCGGAGATGTTCCATGTTGTTTACGGTAAAATCATTCATACATGGACAATACAGTGGGAATATAAATGATAGCAGGGGATGTAACTAACCAAATATTGCCAGTTACTTGTCTTGCAATGCTAAGAGAAACTCTGCAGTTCAAAACGTCAAAAAGACAAGAAACAATCCTGGAAAGTGTCTCTTACTTAAATCAATTCAGGAATAGTGATGGTGATAAATTCCGAAAGGAATGACCTAATATGTATATACATACGTACATACAATTACTATGTAGTTGTGTACAGCCTGTCGAAGCGGAAGCGGGCTACGAAGATGAATGTCTTACATCATCAGCCGTGGGTCGAAGAAAGTTTAGAAGTGAAACTTCCGACAATATGGACAGATCGCAAAGCAGAGGTGGGAAGAGTAGGAGAAGAGAAGAAAAGAAGAGAGAAGATCAGAGAAGAGAAAGAGTCAGAAGAAAGAATATGCAGGCGCGCGAAAAGGTAGAAAAGTCGCGATTCACTGTGTTTTCCAATGATTTGTGGCTCCACGGTCGAAAAATACGCTGGCTAAAGCGGCGGGTGCGGAGCCCTGGCCAGATGAGAGATTAAAAATTGCACGCCGATGTGGCACGAAGCACATTTCGAAGTCAAAAGGTGCAAAACACACCAGGTTCGGACCACTTTTGGAAGTTGACATGTCGAAAAAGTGCACGCCGTTGTGGCTCGAAGCACATGTCCAAGTCAAATGTACAAAACACACCATGCTCGGACCATTGTTGGAAGTTGACATGTCGAAAAAGTGCTCGCATTGTGGCGCGAAGCACATTTCCAAATCAAAATGCAAAAAACACCACATGCTCGGACCACTTTTGAAGGTTCAGATGTGGTTTTGCGTGGCAGGCACGAGGGATTCTGTACAGTGTCAAAAGTAAGCAAAACATGAGAACTTTGTCGCATTTCGAAAAACGATGGCAGGCAAGGGACATTTGAAGAGGATCTGGAAAGATGCATTTCGCGTGGCAGGCGCAGTACAAGAGACATGCTCATCAGAGATATTAGGAAGTCTGGGCGCTGATTTCCTTAAAGGGGTTGCATTTTGGAGCGTCAGATCTTCAGGTTTGCTAAGATGATTTTGCGTGACAGGTGCAGCACCCAGAAGTTCCGTGCTTCGTTAATTAATGAAACCTTGCTTATTTAAGGTAACCTTGCTTATTAATCTTCTTTAATTAACGACTTTTACGTTAATTAAGAGAAAACCTTTCTTAACTAAGGTAAAAGTCTTTAATTAACGACTTTTATTAAGAGAGGTTATGTTTTTTAAGCAATGTTAGCTTATTTAAGCAACCTTGCTTAAATTTAAGCAAGGTTTTTGTTTTTTTACCTCGCTTAATTTTTTTGTTTATTTTTTTTTTGATCAGCGGCTTTTTTTTTCCATAGGAGGTCGTCTGGGATTGCGGCTTGGTCAGGGGCAAGCCTTGACATGTCTAGAGCAATGCCTCTAGGAGTAAGAAGAATCGGAAAAGCTCTGATAGCGTCCATCTTGTCGTCGGTGGATTCTGTCACGTTTCTTCTGTTGTCGCTTTCTCGAGCGGCTACGAGCTCGTGCTCTTCGGTCCTCTTCGGCTGCTTGCTCTTTTTGTAATGACAAGAAACCAAATGACAAAAACGGCTGCAGTGGGAAACAAATTGCATGCAAGTCTGCTTTGAAATGTTGCAAGAAACATATTGAAATCCCATTTGGTCTGATACAAACCAAACTATATTTTTTCCCAAAAAAAATGGTGGTATAAAGAAGAAAAAATATAAACTTTTTAAAGTTATTATGTTTTTAAAATTTTTATTTTTTTAAATTTTTTTAAAATTTTTAAAATTTTTAAATTTTTTAAAATTTTTAAAAATATAATTATATATATAATTATATATATATGTTTAAAAAATTTAAAAAAAATATTTTTTTTAAAAAAAAATAGAAATTTTAAAATTTTTAAAATTTTAAAAAAATTAAAAAAAAATAAAACTTTGAAAATATACAAAATTTTAAACATAAAAAAAAATGAAAAAATTCTTCAAAACCCAAAAAAATTATTTAAAAAAGAAATAATTTGTTTTCCATGATAAGAGCCAATATGCATGCACGCATATCCAATCACTATTTTCCAATGCTTCCATCCTAGCAAAAATTCCCTTGACCTTCTCATGTTCCTCATTTCCAAAGAAACCAAATTTAATATGATAAACAATCAACACACTTCCATGCATCTATTTCGAAAAACAGTCCCCCAACTGATAATCCATCTTTTCCATGAAACACGCTAGCAAATCAACTACTTTAACCCCAACAAAGTAATTATGATCCCCTAACATAAATCCATATAGTCCGACCAAAAACCTATGAAATCCAAAACATATCACCATCCCAATTTAACCTTGCTTAATTTAAGCAACCTTGCTTATCCTTAATTAAGCTAACCTTGCTTAAATTTTTTAAGGCTAACCTTGCTTAATCTTAATTAACGAAGCACGGAACTTCTGGGCACTTCGTATGACCTGGCATCACTTTTTCGCTGCAAGCGGAGTACTGTAGAGAGATGGAATGGAAAATCACAAAATGCATTGGTACGAGGCCGTCAGCTCTGCACTCAACTTTCCAGTTTTGAAGGAAGTCTCGCAGAAGTGCTTCGTTTTTGATGTTGTCAACGTGAAAAATTGAGGAAGTCTCGCAGAATAGCTTTGTTTTTGGTGCTGTCAAGTTCAAAAATTGAGGAAGTCTTGCAGACTTGCCACGCTTCTGATGTTGTCAAGTTCAAAAATGGAGGAAGTGTCGCAGAATAGCTTCATTTTCAAACTTGCAGGTAGACAGATGGATCGATCGATCGATCGAGAAAGAGAGAGAGAGAGAAAGAGAGAGAGAGAGAGATAGGTAGATAGATAGATAGATAGATAGACAGATAGAATAGATGGGTAGATGGATAGATAGATAGATAGATAGATCGATCGATCGATCGATCGATTCGAATCGAATCGAATCGAATAGAATAGAATAGAATAGAATAGAATACTGTAGAATAGAATAGAAGACAAGAGAAGAGAAGAGAATAGAATAGAATAGAACAGAATAGAATAGGATAGGATAGAATAGAATACAAGAGGATAGATAGATACATAAACAACTACAACTACAACTACAACTACAACTGCCACTACACTACTACTACAACTACAAATGCAAATATACTGCACTACACTACACTACACTACACTACACCACACTACACTACACTAATTACACTACAACAACATCTACAACTGCAACTGCAACTGCAACAACAGCTACAAATACAAATACAAATACATATACAAATACATATACAAATACAACAACAGCAACAGCAACAGCAACAGCAACAGCAACAGCAACAACAACAACAACAACAACAAGAACAAGAACAAGAACAACAACAACAACAACTACTACTACTACTACTACTACTCCTACTGCTACTGCTACTACTACTACTACTACTACAACTACTACAACTACAACTACAACTACTCCTACAACTACAACTACTCCTACTGCTACTGCTACTGCTACTACTACATCTGAGGTGGCACAAAGAACGTTGGGAGCATATTTGAAACCACCATGCCGGATACAACCAATTGAGAATGGGTGTACTTGGGGGTGCTGTCCGTCAATCATTGTTATGTTCTTTTTTAATCCGCACCCCCAAGTAGAATGACATCATCCCAAAGATTGCCTTCTCCTTTGAAAAACGCAGATTCTTGGATTCCGCGGTCCGCTGAACCCGCCCCCCATATGCACTTGAGCCACCGGTAGAAGAGGATGGATTTGGCCGTCGGTTCCATCTACTAATGGGTGGGGCTTCCAAAGTGCTTTCAAGTTTGTCATATACTTTTCACTGGACTTGCGAACAGACAGTGTCCTTTGTTTAGGAGCTGGGTCTACATCCTCGCGCCACGACGCACACATCCTCCTTTTTCAGAAGTGGCGAGAATCTATCAAGGCTGCATGGGGAGCTGTGGCAACAATGGCAAAACAAATCCACTAATGAACAAAACCATTCAACAGAACCATCATTGGGCGTAGCGCCAGCTCTTGTTTCACCAAAATAGATCGATTCCCGAAAGATTCAGGATCGGCCCTAACAGGCTTGAGGTCCCAAAATTGGCTTCAGTGAAAAACAGTTCAACCCTTTGGATTTCCATGAATTTCGAAGCTGTTAAGCCCCAACAATGTGGGGCCCCCCAGTTATAAGTTGGTTTATAAGCCCCAGTAACTATAGTTATAAGTACTATAAACCATAATTATTGGAGTTATAAACCAACTTAGCTATATATCTAGAGGGGCCCACATTGAAGGATGCGATTACATGTTCACCGATAATGCCCATGGCTCAAGATCCCGATGCCGCGCCCTTTCTTTCAATCAACGTCCAGTGGATGTGGCAAACGGCCCAAGCCACTACACATCCTCGGCCAAAGCTCCAGAGGAGCCATCTGCAGTGGTCATCCCAAGATAGAGAGTATGTCGTATGTATTTTTTCACAAGTTCTCACGAAATGAACACAGTGGTGGTTGGTTGATTACTGTTGATTTCCCATGAAATTTAACATCTCCAATGATTTATCATCTCCAATAGCCTTCCACGAATCAACATGTTAGGAAATCCACCCAGCTGCTTCCCAGCTCCATTCTCGACATCAGCACCCCAAGAATACCCTGGCAACCACCGATCCAACCCAAATCTTACAACCAACGTGGCCGCTATGGAGATTGCCCAACCCGATCCAGCCCGAGTTGTCCAGTCATCAACCATCCCTGAGTCATAAACAGCAGAGTAACATGACTCAACTCACACAATTCCAACTCAACCTCAGCCCAACTTAAGCCAACTTCACCCAATGTCAATCCAATGAATTCAAGCCACCAAATCAAACTAATTAATCCAAGCAGCTTGTCATAGAGGTTCTTTGCCTCCTTGTCCAAAACCTTCTGACGTCGCCTCACCTGCGATGCTTTGGCGGACATTTTGGTACTGTTTCCCAGCAAAAACCGGAAGTTCATCATTGAAGGATCGGCATTTTGAACGAATTCAATCATCAACAATGGGGATCGAAGGTTGACGTTACTCTCTGATTACTGTGCAAAAAACTTGTAGATGTGGGATTAACATGGATTAACCGCCTCACCAGGTTGGACAGAGGGTCATCCTTTACGGAGAACTGCAGGAAGTTCACAAGAATCAGTTGCTTTGTTTATCAATACAATCAGAAAAAAAACAATCTTCAAGTTTCTATGATCACTGGAATGGCTTAATTACATGGCTTACCTTGAAACATTACCAACAGGACAAGGAGTTGGCCCTTCCAACCCTGAGTGCGGAGCCAGCAACCCATTGGAACCATCATCCCAGTGCCAAGGTTTTTTCTATACCAACATGGGGAGAGAACACCAAGAGGAAAGAAAGGTATCTGGCGAGGGTTCATGTAGGGTTTATATACATCATTTATAAAATCCCCGGCAAATAATCATACTTCTGTTTAGGGTTTCATGTAGGGATGCATACCATGCGGAGAAGTGCACATGGCTGTGGCAAGATGACTTATGAACACTCCAGACTCGCCAAAAAAGTGAAAAATGGGAGAAGGGCGACAAGCATGAAGTCCGAAGACGATTCATTATTTTGACGATTCAGATGCACCAATATCATTAAACATTGCGCCTGCGTAGTGAAATGAGCCTCTTTGGGACGTTAACAATTCGATTCCGGGCTAACCCTCTGTCCTGGCCGAAACATTACAATCACTAATCATTGCAGGAAACGACTATATTTTCTGATAACACCGGGGTTTCCATAGCAAACTTTTAAATTACCACAGGTTACGTCCCATTATTTCCCATTATTATATCCCTATAATTCCCTATTGTTGTTATTCAAAGTTCTGATATTAAGAAAATCAGCGGATTTTAGAATCATAGTCCCATGATATTCCCATGAAATCATTGTTATTTTGAGAAATTTAGAAAATCCCTATGATTTTCGAGGCTACACGGTACCTTTGCCATGGCATGGCGCCTCGTTTTCAAGTCGTTTCGCCTCCACTGCCACCTCCGTGTCGCCCAAACGATGGCAGTCTCGTAAGGCTTCAGCGCAATCATCTAGGCCTAGCGTGCGGCGTGTCCAATGGATGGTGCCAATTTGGGGATCTAAGAAACAAAAACAATGCCATAAACCACCCATGACTGGGAATGATTTTTATGGTTTATACCACCTATAAAAAAATGGTGATGACTGGAGGATGGTTTATGGCATTGTTTTGCCCACATTAGTGAAAGATAGGGTTTAAACCAACCCAAACTCTGGATCATCAACGGGATACTGTAGTGCTTCACAATCATCGTCATAGGTGACGATCACAAATCAAGAGGTCAGTCACAATGTCCCCCACAAAAACAGATCATGGTGAGGAAAGTTTCCATTTTCAGACACACCCATATAGTGATGGCTACAAAAGGGAACCCCAATTTCAATAGGTAAGTTGGTTTATGACCAACACTTGGATCAAATCATCAATCAATCAACAACTGGATCTAGATATAATTAGGATGATTCATCGGGGTACAACAAAAAACCTTGGAGTACCAAGGATTCCACATGTTTTACCGTGCCATACCCATTGGAGTACCAACAAAATAGCATATGATAAGCGTTACCTTCAACAAAGATGACGTCACTGTCTAAGACATGTGCAAAATTCTAGGGCCAGTTTTCCTTGTAGTACTTGGCGAACACACTCAATACTCTGTGCAATTGAACAATAGCTATTGGAAAACACCATGTATGGTTGGTTTACCCATTTAAAATGGTGATGTTCCACAGTGTTGCTATGTTAGTTTACCAGAGAGTATCCTTAATTCATTCTGAAACCCAGATCATACATACAATCCTCCAATCTTATCCCAATCTTACATCCAATCAGTTTCCCGTGGGTGGAGGATTATTTGGGTTTTTTTTTTTTTTCGGGTGAGTTTTTTTTTTCGGATTCCAGTTCCCTTATATTTGCAGCATTTAGAAACTATAGAACCTTGGTTTTCACGTGGTATTTGCAGGATTTTGCAATTCTTATGTTTGTTGGGTAGGGGGTGGGACGGGTTAGGCGTTTAGGTGTGGGGGATGGGAGGTTAGGGGTGGGGAAGTTAGGGGTTTGAAGGTGTTGAAAGTGTTAAAGGTCTTGAAAGTGTTGAAGGTGTTGAAGGTGTTGGGGTGTTGAAAGTGTTCGAGGTGTTGAAGGTGTTGAAGGTGTTCAAGGTGTTCAAGGTGTTGTTGTTGTTGTGTTCAAGGTGTTGTTGTTGTTGTTGTTGTTGCTGTTGTTGTTGGATGTTGTTTTTTGTCGTTCTTGTTATTCTTGTTTTGTTTTTTCTTGTTTTTTGTTCTTTTTGTCATTGTCGTTGTCGTTGTCGCTGTCATTTAAGGGGTTTAGGTGTGGGGGGGTTGGGGGGGTAAGGGGTTTGAAGGTTATAGATGATGCTGATGCTGATGGTGATGTTGATGTTGTTGTTGTTGTTGCTGTGGTTGTGGTTTATGTTGTCGTCGCGAAGAGAAGAGAAGAGAAGAGAATAGAAGAGAAGAGAAGACAAGAAAAGAGAAGAGAAGAGAAGAGAAGGGAAGGGAAGAAAAGGGAATGGAAGGGAAGAGAAGAGCAAGAGCAAAAGAAAGAGCAAAAGCAAGAGCAAAAACAAGAGCAAGACCAAGAGCAAGAAACTCAGGCAATCTCATCCAGAGACTACACAGAGGAAGAGAGACGAGCACATCGCACGATAGCACCCAAGCAGACAGGAGAGAAGCATCCAAGCGCAAAGAACAGGAAAGAAACAAAGAGGCCAACAACATTAAAGATGTACAAGGGTTCAAGAACCAGGACCATATGTGCTAGGGTCAAAACATGGTATAAAATGTAGGATCATCCATCTCACAATGGCAATCCTTACCATGGACATACAAATCCCTATGAACGGATTCATGACAAATTGCTTTCAGGGGAAAGTGACCCATGTTTTTACGATGGCACATCAGACGCAAAAAAGTAGAGAAATAAAACAAAACACCAAAGCAAAACAGAAAGACCCAGAGAAGAAGAAAAGCAGAGAAACGAAAGTAGACAAGCCGAGAAGCAAAGAAGCAGCAAAAAGCAGAAAAGCAAAAACACAAGAAAAGCGAGAAAAAAAAACAGAGAAGCAAAGAAGCGGCAAAGCAGAGAAACAAAGAAAAGCAGAGAAGCAAAAAAGCAAAGGAGCAGAGAATCAAAGAAGCAGAAAAGCAGAAGAAGCAGAAGAAACAGAAGAAACAGAAGAAGCAAAAACGAAGAAAAGCAGAGAAGCAAAAAAGCAGAAAAGGAAAAAGGAAAAAAGCAGAGAAGCAAAAACGCAGAAAAGCAAACAAGCAGAGAAGCAAAGAAAAAGAATTGAAGCAGAAAATTTAAAGTTAAAGCGAGCAAAATTCCCTAAAAGGCACCCAAGAGCAGAAAGCAATGGAAGGTGTAACAAAAAGGACGGAAAAAAAAATCACCCGAAAAAGATCCCTAAATAAATCCCTTCCCATTTCCTGTTCCCGTTGGTAGGTGCCAATTAATCGTCATACAACTGGTGGTACACCAGATGTAGAACTGGGTCATAGATATGAAAATCCATGGCTTACAACCCAGGAAAATGAACTACAGTGGATATATCTACAGTCATTACAGTACTTGCCTGGTGATTATAACGACAGTGAATAACAAATAAAACATATTGACTATCCTTATCAAGAATGGTCAATGATGAACTGTAACCAACTAATATATTAATTCTCACCTACATTTCAGAAAATCTAGTCGCAATCAACCATAATATAACTGGTCATATTGTAGCTATAATAGCTATTTCAATATGAAATTTCTATTGGCTAAATACGGCTAACTAATTAACCAATGTTTATGAACTTACTAAATATCCAAAGTGTAGCTAAGGTTAGAAGGGTGTGTGTTAAATTATGAATGCTTGTGAAATGACGAAACATCCTCAACTACTAAATTTATCCTATTGTACTTCATTTTTAAAACTAACTATGGAACCCCCAACCCCTCCATCTATGGTTAACTACTAACTATAGTGTACTACTAACTGTTAACCCAACCCCTCCATCTTCCACCGCCCCACCTAGGTTGGCCTGCGCTCGTCGCAGCCTCGCCTTCGCCTTGCGCGACAACGAGGTCAGCAGCGCGTCGCCCAGCAGCGCGTCGCAGCAGCGCAGGGCGCTGCCGAAGCGCTGCACCTGGCGGGCAAAATTGGCTTTAGAATTTGGAATTCACCAATGATTAAAACTGGCTTATCAAGCAATAATGGGTGCAAGCGGGGCAAGCAGATGCTTTTTCCTTGGAGCAAAAGAGCCTGCAGCATGTCACTGCAGTTGGGCATGTCCATGCCAGTTTGTGTGAAACCTTCCACACGCCTTTGACCTATCAAAATCCATATGCACTCCCCCTTGGTAGCTGAGCCATTGTCAGTCTACCAATTGCGCCGGCTGCGCAGCTGTACTGGGGTAGCACGTGGAGAGGTCTGTAGGCTCAAGGCTCTCTACACCAGTGCGAAAACGATGAACTAAATGGTTGCCAGTCCCCCAAGGCAACACCGGTCTTCCACTCTGCTCAGTGGGCGCGTGCTGAATTGGTAGAGCATGAACAGATGGCCACCCGCTGGGATCTTTTTGCCAACGGCAGTGAGTGCTCACCACCAGTGATCACTGCCAAAAAGTGGGCACTTTCTGTTACACCTGCCATGGACCTTCTGGTCCTTCACCATCGTCGTCTTCGCGATCACGGCGTTCAGGCCCCGACGTAGGGTCAGACCCCGAAGTGGAGTCATCTTCATCATCATCAGCTGCTCCCGCAGTGGCAGCAGCGGGGATCGCAGTGGATCCGTCAGGGATTGTAGGTGCCACAGCACCGCCAGTCACCGTAGCGGTCGGCAAGGCTGTAGGTCCAGTGGGCACCGCCGCAGCACTGGCAGACAACGTGCCGCCAGCATCTTCTTCTTCCTAAATTGTTTCCAGGTCATCGGCGCAGGCGTCGCTGGCATCGCTTCCATCTTCACTTTCCACGGCCTCATCATAGACCTCTGAAAGTGGTTCATCCGAGGTAGAGGCCCCTGTTGCTGTAGAGCTCGAGTAGAGCGCATGCCACCTGGGCACGTATCCAATGCCTGCCACCCTTCGGGTGTGGGAGCTGGTTGGTCGGCTCAGGATCTCGTTCCTTCGTCCCCTTCTCGGCCAGCTCGGTTTCAGCACTGGGCATAGTTCCCTCAGACTTGATGACCTCACCAGCCCTTGGAGGTAGTACACCTTCTGACTGCCAGCTGCTCGGAGGAGTTTGGAAGCTAGACCATCCACCAAACGCTGAACTCCTGCCACATCGCCCACTTCGTTCTGTGTCTCCCAGGCGTCCTCCTAGATTTCCATCAGCCACGGGCCTTGGTATTTCCCCACCTGCCTCTTCACCTTGTTCCCATTTATCTGCTGGGACTGGTGGCAGCTCATGATCTGGAGTACGTTCTGGTAGCCCAGCAGGACGAAGAGCTTGTAGACGGTGTTCATCACGTAGTCGCTCTGACCAGAATGGATTTGGCTCCATTGATCTTGTTCTTCTCGATGCCATCTCACAGCAAAGAAGGGTACGTTGGGCTCATAACCTGCAAGCGGAGCAAGCAGGGGTGCTTTTTCCTTGGAGCAAAAGAGCCTGCAGCATGTCACTGCAGTTGGGCATGTCCATGCCAGTTTGTGTGAAACCTTCCAAATGCCTTTGATCTCTCAAAATCCATATACAATGGGAAATCACCAAATTATCAATGGAATAATCCTATGTATTATCACTTAATAATGGATTTGATAGGATTTAATGGATTCATGTCGACTTTCCTTGGCTTTGTAGCCTATGACCATAGAGAAATCATCGAACTATGGTGGATGTGGAGCATGGCTATGCTGGTTTTCAACACGATTTGCCCATGAAAAAAAGGGGAGATATCACCAACAACCATGGGAATGTCATGGGGATATAAAGGACATAATGGGGACATCATGGGGACATTATGCACAACTAGAATAGAATGGAAATCTAATGGACTTGGAATGGCTTGGAAGCCAACAATCATGGGGATAGAATGATAAAACATCAGATTAATGCCCATTAAATGAGATACAATAGGATATCGTGGGTGTATAGCCAACTTGAATTTTTGAATCTATTTCAGTGTGTCTGAAAATGGAGATCTAACTAATCTAACTATTCAAATCATGGGGATGTGTTTAATGATGGGATACATAGCCAACCGTTGAACCACCATGGAGCACGAATTCGTGCACCATTCACAAGGGGGGATCGTGGGGATATTCAATGGGGCCGGGATTGTCTGATTCCAAAGTTCAAAACGCTCAGCCTTGATCAAGCAGAGTGCTCGATTCAGCAAGCAAGCTTCCTTCCTCAGCATTCGACCAAGGCCTCTGGCGAATTTACTCGGGAATCCGTGATTCATCATGCACATAAGTCACATGAGTATGACACAGATATGGTGAGGCAATGGTGGGAGGAAACATGGCCCACATGGCCTGCCATGGAGTTGCCATCGCCCCAAATCCACTGGCTTCATCTGGTTTCACCAAACAGATATTTCTGAGAGATGTAACTGCTGGTAACTGCTGATATTTCTGAGCATGCTCTATCTATTCCCATGATATTCCCATTGTGCTTCCATTCTATTCTCCTTGAGGTTGGTGTAATCCTCGATTTGGCAGGTTAAATCCCATTTGACCCCATTAAATGTTCATCAAATCCAACGAAATCTCATTTAAAGTCCCATAAAATAATCCTCAGTTTAGCAGCTTCAATCCCCATGAAAATCCGTTCCGATTCAGATCCCATTAATATCCCAATAAATACCCTCTGGTAATGACTAACATAGCTATTGAAAATGGCCATTTATAGTGGATTTACCCATTAAAAATGTGATTTTCCATAATTATGTTAGTTTACCAGAGGGTATCCCATTCATATATTCCCAATAAAACCCCATTCACATTTCCCATCGAAATCCAGGAAACAGTTCCTGGACGCGTCGCGCACGCTCCTGTCCGGAACTTAGGCCGCGGAAATCGTCGATATACCTATGCCCCCAGGCGATTTGTGGCGATCTGTTGGGATGGTATCTCTATGATATCCATATGTTTGTATAACCATGTTTAACTATAGCAATAAAAATGATTTCACTTAACCATTGAAACACAGTGGTTTAACCATGTTTAAGCATCAAATCTGGGGATTGAGGCATTTAAAAGTTAGATTCGGGTGCCCCATATTTGAAAAAACTGCTGGGAATAGCTAGCTGAACTCCTGGATATAATGGATATATCTAAGGCTCTAAGGTTGGATCGGTTTCTAGTTGGATGGGTATTTTAATCCTGGTTATATCTTCCACAATATAACACAAATTGTGCATCAGTTTATAGACATTGGTTATAAATCCCAATATACCCAAATGTGCTGGTGAATGCCCTCTGGTAATCAAATGTAGCTGACCAGAAAATCCACCATTTAGTTCGGTGATTTTCCGATGAAACCCCGCAAATGTCGGATTTTCACTTGCCGCGTTTCATTATCGGAGGGTAAATCATTAAGTATCCCACTAACCATTCTTAACCGATTGTTAACCCACGAAAAAAACCCATGGTTTTTCCCATGATGTTCCCACTAAAACCATTGGAAGAACCAATGGCGCTGCTTCAAGGCGCCCTAAGAGTTGATGAACATCATGGAAGTGATAGGCGGCCAATCCTCAGAAGATTGGATGGGTTTTTCGCAGCCCCCAGAAGATAGGCAATGTGGTAAACCCAAACAAGAATCCATAGAATCCATCACAAAAAAAAAATCACCATCTGATAAAATTTCTAGGTTTATGATGGGTTTTCCTTATTTTACCAGCAAGAATTGTGATGTCATGGGATTTTCGTCGGATTTAGATAGCCAAGTTGCTGCAAATTGCAAAAAAAAATGGTTGACTGTTGGGTTTATGGTGCGTTATGATGGATATAACTATAGTACCAGGGGCTATAAACCAACTTAGAACTAGGGGACCACACCTGTCCAGCCCCTCGGCTGGCACACGGTTCCTTTGTGCCAGTTGCTTGAAGGACTTCGAATTGAAAAAGGCTAGCTCACTGTAAGTTCAGGGTTGAAGGGATTAAGCATTTACATGCATTTACAATGATCTGTTGTGGATGCGTGTGGATGCAACATTCAAAGATTGGGGAGGTGTCGAATAGAGTCGAAGATTGACATGGAATGCCACAATGCCGCCATCGTTGGATAAACATCCGACTCCCAATGCAGTCAACATGAGTCAACATGGATGTCACATGGAACAGATGGCCACTCCGGCCCCAAGAAGAAAAACATAAAACCATGGAAAGCCATGGAAAGCCACTCTCAGCTTCCACATTCTTTTAGATGCATAAAGAGTGCGCGCTATCAAGCCACCACTTTTTTCGTGGTTCATCTCATCTGGACAAATCACATCAAGTCAAGTAAGTCATCTGGTAAACCCACTGTTAATCCCACATCTTTCAAGAACGCCTGCTATTTTTAAAGTAGAAACAGCTGAATGGTCTATGTTGTCATCGTATACTCGTGTATCGGGGTCCCAGAATCCGATGCCTTTCATTATTTCACGCGCCTTAACGTCGTTGATAAAGATGCGAAATGATCAATTCCCCACCTTGTGGCTATGCACCTTTAATGGATTGTTGATTATACGTCCAATTGTATTCCATTAAATCCGATTCTATCTCTGTATCTGTGTATGTCCCAATACAATGGCATTGTACTCCCCCATTGCTGTTGGTTGAAGGCCCTTCACATACCCATGTTGATCTACTACATGATCTGGAAAAAATATAATACTTCATACTTCACCAACTTGAAATAAGCTCATTTTGGGATAGTTACCCCTTGTGAACCATCATTCCAGTGACGTCGCAGTAAAGTTTTTTTCTTGATTCCTGATATATATATATATATATAAAAGTGTTATTTTTTCCTCCTCGACATTGAGACTGTTACCAGTCGCGGCAGCGCTGATGAATTCTGACTGACATCGGTCCACAGTGTTCAAGACTGCAAAATGGAATTAGAAAATGGAAACTAAAATAAGAAAAAGATGTGGGCCAGCGACTGGCTCCCCTTTTTTTGGAATATGAATAATTAGCCATAGCTCCTATCACCGCTTCCTGTTAGAACTGGACAGGACCATAAAATCCCATTGTATATCCAAATGATTCATTTCAGTGAAATCTCTATATCAGTCTATATCCATAAATATCTATATCCCCATGATATGTTATGATATTGTATATCCCGCCATACCCTCTGGTAAACGTTTACATAACTATATGGAAAATCACCATTTTCAATGGGAAAATCCACTATTTCTATGGTGATTTTCAATAGCTATTTTGACATAACCAGAGGGTAAGTTTTGGGCCTTTTTGGAATGGCATGGAATGGATGTCGGGACATGGCCGAGAATCGCCATCGGCCCATCTTCAACAGCTTGACAGCTTCGTCTTTCCGTCGCATCAGCACCTTTTTGGGGAGCCGAGCCACGAGTTGCTGGGACACATGGAGGTTCATAATGGTTAATAATGGTTCATAATGGTTAATCTGTGGTTAATATGGGAGTATGATTAATATGACTGCATAACGATGGTGAATGATGGGTGATCATGGGTTTCTGAAGTCATGAGGGGGTACCCCAAAAACGCTGGATGGTTTATTTCATGGAAAATCCATCTATATATAACTGGTTGGTGGTTTCAACCCCTCTGAAAAATATGAAAGTCAGTTGGGATCTTCCCGATATATGGAACAATAAAAAATGTTCCAAACCACCAAGCAAATAATTTGGGGGTACAGTACCCCCATGACTTAGGAAACCTCCAGATGTTACTTGGAGGATCCAACTTAGCAAGTGGTCATTACAATAGTTACAACCCATGTATAGATGTGAGAACCCACTTAGGGCACTTACTATCCAGGGCTACTAAGCAGTTACCTAGTGGAATGATCCTCCAAGTATTGAATGTGTTGAGAGAGCCTTAGTTCTATCTTCCTATGTATGTATGTGTAATTTATAGTGTTTCCAGTGTTCCTAACGGATCTTATCTTCCTACATTTCCTAACACATGTTTTTACTTGGTGGTATCATTAAACGGACGATGACATGTTGATAGCCCTATTGTGTAAAAAATGTTGGAAACTGACATGTTAAGAATCCCTTATCAACATGTGACCTTCTGATATATTTCACTGAAAATCCTTGGGGTGTCCATGGGACAAGTAGGGGGGGCCATTCGGAGAGTTTGTGGGCATTTGGTATGTAACAACGAAATCGTTCATGATTCATATGGAGATACACTTGATAACTGGTGACTTAGGGATATGATATATATATATATATGTGTATGTATATATATATATACATATACTGGGGATTAAATAGGTACGGGTACAGGTGATGATCAATCGCAAACATGGGCGGCCGATGCAACATGGTAAGCCGACAACCAAAGCAATAAATCATACCTAATAGTGCAGTACCGCGTCTAGAAATGTCAGAAAGCGTCAAACCCGGTCTTTTTGTCCGGTTTGCCAAATAATATGAATAAGATGGAGCATACAATGCTGACAATTGTTTTGAGACTCACTCGAGGTGGGGATAGCTCAAAATCATATCCAAACACCTCAAAATCCTAAGGAACATTTGGATACTAGCTTGCAGTACCAGGCTAGCAGGTTGAGATCATCATGTCTGCCCAAACCTCGCTGTCCAGCTACCCAGTGGGTGGGTAGGTTGATCGATATTGATCATCTCGGATAGGATGGACATAGATGAACAATAACAATCAACAACAAATATGAGTGTAAATATATGTATATATATATATATAATATCTATAATAACTATTCATATATATATATATATAGTACCCCTTGCCATCCATTGAAATAGCTATGATTGGGAGCTGACACACCATTTTCAGACTAACAAATCTCTCAAACCACCAACCAGTCATGTGAGAACCAGTTCTGAACTTCAGGCGTCAGGCATCCCAGTGGTCAGTGACGCGTTCACACAATCCTGTCCCCGAAATAGAGGATTTCACCATCAAAAACGGGGTTTAACCATCCTGAAATGCGGATTTCTATACCCAATCTAACTCATCCCCAGCCATCTTCAGTGACCGACGACAACACCTGAAGCTTGTCGTCATCAGAAGCAGCGCGCTCCCAATCCTTAGTCCGTGACATGGTCAAAGCACGCAACAGATCATGTCTAACCGTGGCCTTAGATACCCTGCCAACAAAAATAGTTGGTTATACACGCTATTCAGATGTGTTCAATACATGTTTAATACATATGTACAGTATTGTGCAGTTCTCGCAAAAAGATTCAAGTGTTTGCAACTATCCATTTTGGCTGCTTGCCCTCCCAGGATTTTTGATCGAGATCCCTTCCCTTTTTCGCCAATTGATTTCCAACACATGGACGAAATTGGCCAAGGGTCACCAGGCTCGTACTTCTGTACCTCCAATTTGAAGTTAGATGACTGACCTCAAGCATCTCAAGATATCTCAAGGCACAGGTTGACAAATGGTGTACCCTGATAAATCGTAGAACTATCAACAAGGAAAACGAAGCTATAGATCTTGCATGTGGTAAACCCATCCCAAATACTTCGATACTTATTCTATAGTACTTTGGGGCTTTATGAATCTTAAACAATTGAGGTGGGCGCACCAAGTTACAGCGGACGGTTGGTGCCTTGAATCTATCACAAAATATGCAAGTGAAAAATAGTGAAAATATGGATTAATCAATCAGTGATTAATCGAGATGTGCAAAACATTCTAAAACCACCAGCCCAACAACTATACATCTGGTATCTAGCGTTTGATTGTCAGAATATCAAACAACTCCAGGTATCTACGAGGTATTCACCTGCTACCTGATGGGCTGGGCATCAGGAATGAGGCTCCGAAGTCAAAATGATCCCTTGACGAGCAGTATCCCAGCTGGCTTCAACTGGACTTTCATAGATTGATGGTCTCAACCTCTCCCCAAAAATCTTAGTAATCTTGGATAATCACCATCAGCATCACCATCAGCACCATCATCATCATCATCATCATCATAATCAAAACATGTGCAATCATCTACAGGTCTACAGTACCTTTTCATGACTTCAGTGCTGATTAACCCTAACCAGTCGTAGCTGTCAACTGCACCTGTCGTCCCTGTCGTCCAATCGCAAAGCTCCGCATCAGCAGTGACCTCTGGATCTTATATGCACGACGGTCAGCCAACCCCGTCACAAATCCCTGGGATGTTCAATTTGGTGTACCATGTTTGTAGCATTTTCTAGCAGATAAACATGCAAAGATCTTCCAAAATAGTGTCCTAATGTGGGGAGCTCTAATACGGGTCAAACTAGTGATAGAGTTGCCAGCCATTTGGAGCCTGATTGATGGCAAACTTACATAAACTCTCCAATTGATTTTCATGTGTTTTTTTTCCGTTGGGATCACTGGGTATTAATTTTCCGGGTTTTGGGGCTGAACGCTGATGTGCACAGCCTACTCATGATCTGTTTTTCTGTAAGATGAAGCGTGTTCAGTGTAGACGCTGCAAGAAACAGGGCGAGACAAATGCGTTTCTCAACAAAGGATCCTGGAGGCCTTCTTTTACCTAGCGGTCTCTTGCCATGATTTTAGACATGTGTCAGTGACTCAGTGACCTGTATGTGTTCCAAATATAGTGCAAAATGTGGCAAATAGTGGTTCCAAATCAAGGAGTTCAAAAGGTTCAAAAGCTTCAAATCAACCAACAGCCAGCTGACTCTGAAAGCGTCTCTTGTCGATGGTGACCGTCCCAGACCCGTCCCGGACCGTTATCGCATCGTTTTTACTAGCTGAAATGATAACAACAACAACAACAACATCATCATCCAAAATTTGGATGGTTGGATGATAATTTTGACAACCTATACTATATATATATATTGCCTCAATTATATAAAAGAGATAAACTTCTGCCATTCGCACACCGATCCAACACTCCAACTGGACTCCAGCCCCTACAATGTGGTGCCCTCCCAGTTAGAAATTGGTTTATAACCCCATTAACTAGTTCGATAGATCTAGTCATTAGAGTTATAAACCCTAAAAGCTAGTTCGATCTGCCATAAACCATTGAATTCACCTAGTTATTTATAAATTACCATCTGGTTATTTAACATAGCCATGGAAAATCACCGTTTTTAATAGGTAAACCATCTATAAATGGGCCATCTATACCATGGCAAACTGTTAAATAACCAGAGGGTAACTAACTCCCCTGGTAATTTAACATAGCTATGGAAAATCACCATTTTTCATGGGAAAATCCACTATTTCTATGGTGGTTTTTCCATAGTTATGTATTAGTTTACCAGGCCGGGTAACTCCCCTGGTTTTTTTAGTCCTGCCCCACCTCGGCCACTTCGTGTTCCCTCATCTGCAGCACCACCGCCTCCAAGGCATCGCACAGCTCCCCGCAGCCCAGCGTCGCGGTGACCGCGGTAACCGCGGTGACCGCTTCGCGGCCGTCGTGGACGCCGTCCAGGTGCAGCTGGCAGGTGCCCAAGGCCTGGCGTTTTTCGCCGTGGCGAAGCATCGATTGATGTGGGGAAAAGATAGGAAAATTCCTGAAATGATAGAGATAATTTGGAAAGATTCAGAAAATTCCATGTTCTACCCCAGATCTTACTCCAGATCTTTCCAAATCAAAATTCCAGAAAATCCGGGAAAACAGGGAGATGATATGGAAAGAATCCACTGCCAACAGTCATAATTGGTGATATTTCTGCCATGTCAGTAATTTGAAGGCAAAAAGACTTCGCCAAACCTGAAAGCCTTCACAAAACCGTCGACATCATGAAATATGTGAAGTGGCATTCTATGTTTGAGTCGTCAAACCAGGGGCCTTGAAGCGTCATTCACAAATGGACGGCAAAAAAACCCTCGTCCTTCACGATGCATTCGACCCTGCCTGACACTTGGCATAGACATCACGGCCATGCACCGAACGCTTCACCACAGATCCATCCTGGAGGAATGGTTCAGTCGATGTCGTCAGTCCCTTAAATAGTGGGGATGATATGTGTACATATATATATATATACTGTATATAGAGATATCATTATCTGACTGATTGGTGCTGTCGTATCATCCCCACTCTTGATAAGGTAAATATGTATATATGCATTACATGTTTAAATATTCCCCACTCGTTGATGTTTGCTTATTATATATACATGTTGGAAACCACCAACCAGGATTGGTGATGTCATAAACCCAAATTCAAACACGCCAGTTTGTTTCAGATTCATAAAGAAAAGACAAACAAAGAATATGTGGTTGTCTTTATTTTCGAATCTATGTATAAGTCCATCCATCCAAACCAGCCACAATGGCGCTCCTTTTCAAAGGAGACATCGGAGGTTTCGATGAAGTCATGCAGTTCCACGTTCAAGAGCCAGCTGTCTTGACCTGTGGTGACTCAGCTGATCTAACCCCAATTGAGTGTGAAACAAACCCCTGTTGGTTGATGATTAGTTCGGGGATTCTACTACCCTTCTTACATATAATAATATAGTATATAATATACATATATATATATATATATATTATATATAGTGTACATATATACAGTGTATATATATATATGAGGATTATATTTAACTATCCAAGAACGGAAAATCCCATGATTGACCAACCAGGATCAATGGAACAGAGGGATTTTGCGCCTTCTGGTACCGCGACGGTGGCCCCTTCCCTGAGCCGTTCGTCCGTGCACTGAATGCTACACCGCTCGCCACGGCGCATGGATAGCAGGGCCTGCCAAGGATTCACCTAAGGTCGAGATTTAACCTGGTCTCACCAAACAAAATAGGAGAGTAATCGGAGTTGGCCATATACCACATGTGTATATATATATATATATATACACATATATATATATACATATATATATATATAGAGTTGCCAACATACCGTCATGTAGTGTTATATAATATTTATATATATATTGAGAGTGATCGAGATAACCCTATCTCCCTAATGATACCCCCCCCCTATATGGGGCCCAAAAAAGGAACAAATCCCGGATGAAGAGAAAACAGGGAAACGTCAACAAAGAAGGGGACCTAACCAATACCTGAATGATACACGTAGCTATATCATTACGATATACTATGATATCCATTGAGATGATTTCCGAACGAAACATACAAGCAATGTACATATGTCACTATGCGGACCTAGGGTATTACAAGCATCATACAAACCAAAGCAAAGCCATATACATTCATACAGACATACCATACATACATACATACATACATACATACATACATACATACATACATACATACATACATACATACAGACAGACAACATACATACGGATGGACATACATACATACAGACAGACAGAGACAGACCAACATACATACATACATACATACCAGACAGACACGACAGACATACAGACAGACAGACAGACACCATACATACATACATACATACATACATACATACATACATACATACATACATACATACATACATACATACATACAGACATGAATACATGAAGACATGACATACAGACATACATGAATACCGAATGGATGAAGACATGAGACATGAGACATACATACATGGACATACAGACAGACAGACAGACAGACAGATACATACATACATACATACATACAGACTACATACATACATACATACATACATACATACATACATACACATACAGACAGATACACAGAAAGATACCTACATATACATACATACATACATACATACAGACATACATACATACAGACACATATACATACATACTACATACATACATCATACATAGCATACATACATACCATACATACATACATACATACATACATACATACATACATACATACATACATACATACATACATACATACATACATACATACATACATACATACATACATACATACATACATACATACATACATACATACATACATACATACATATCATACATATCATACATATGTAACATATGTATAAATATATACAATTCATATTATATACCCTCCAGTAAAATAACAGTTGGACCCTGCCAGTTGTCGGGGTTGGAAGATTTGTTTCCATTAAAAATTGGTGATTTACCAGAGAGTACTGTACCTATATCATCCTGTATACATATGATTTCAGGAAGTTTCTCAACATGCTGGACCCGAAAAAAAAAAAAACATGGATGACTCAATACTTTTCAGTGCTCCAGCATTTTGAGATGACTCAGCCGCACTATGGAGACTATGGAGTAGCCTCATTTTAAGAAACCACCATATGTGCTTCACAGATCTTCAGGTATCTGTTGATCTGCTGAAGCATTTTCTGCATTGGACGGAAAATGGTGGACAGTGTACAGTGTACACCTCCAAATGGCAATTTACTAGGGAAAATGATGGTCATAATGGCATTTAGGGGACGAACCCACATGTATCCATATGTGGATTTTCAAGCGCCGATGTAGCCAGAGTCATGTCTCTCTGAGACCTGAGTTCGTGCCCACCGCAAGAGTGGGCAATTCTTCGCTGAAAGGAAACCCATCAAAAGCGTCAAAAGAGGAACCCCTGGAAAAAACAAAATGGCTTTGACAAGCCAACATTCAGACTAATCTTAACTCCGGATTCATAAACCCACCAGCTTCTTGATATCGCCTGTTGCCAAATAGTGATATCTTTCCCTTTGCAAATGCTACCCCCCAATCAATACGTGCGTACTCCAACACTCGACACCGGCCTTGTCCAAAAGTTTCCAGCCATCGGCTGGACGTTCCCCATGTTTCCAACGATGCTCACTCTCGGGCGGTACCAGATCGCAAATCCTGGATTGATCCATCAATAGATATATAGAAATTATAGTGTAGAATGGGGATATCATCAGATGGTGTATAGATATACTGTATAATGATACAATATGGTGTAAATATAATAATGGTATAGATAATTGGGAAATCATCAGATATGTATAATTATTGGATATATATATATAATGATATATAATGATATACAATGGTGTATACGTATATGGTATATAATGGTATGTAATGCTCAAACACATTGGATCTTTACCAACATGATTTTTTAGTGACAGGTAGTGACAGGTTGTATCCTCTTCACCGGTGATTTTTTACATGGTACCTGGGTACCTGAATGAATTTCCATTGTGGTTTTTCATTATATAAAGAGAAAATTTGTTGCAAATAGCATGCATGCTAGAAATCTATCCCCTTAATCCATAGGCAAACGATACTGAATACGTGGTCATGTTGTTTTCGTTGGGTACGTATCGTTGCTATTAGTGTTGATTTATGAAGCAATCGTGTCGGCTACAATCATCGCTCTAAAAAGGGTTCTTTTGATAGGCATATCACCATTCTTGATGAGGTACACCATGGTAAACAATCGTCATAAACCATCCCCTCTAGTAATGAGAGGATATAAAATGATCCCTAGTCATGGTTGGTTAATGCCAGGGTTTATGGCCTTGGGTGGATCCCACACTATTCCTGTTCGTTGCATCCTAGTAGCTATGCCAACACCATATCCATCTTTGTCATCTTTTTTGCTCAATGTTGCTCATATCCCCAGTGTGCGTGGGCTCTTTTCGTGTTTGATACATATCGTATTAATTAATATTACAGTATAATATTACACCAATTTTCGTTAGCTATATGATGTTAATTCCGTGCAGGGGTCCAAACAGTGAGGCTCTCAAGAAGCAGGATGATCATTTACAGGGTTGCTCTCTATACACCCCAGGTACAAAAGGAATGAATTGGGTAAATAAAGCGGTAAACTCACCAATTTTTCCCAAAATGGCTATCATTTACTTATAGTAGATTAGAGCAACCCTGTTTTACCTGATTCATCCAAATTCCAAAGATTGATTTCTACCCAAAAAAAACTAGTGAAATATCCCATTATGTCCCACTGTATCCCATTATATATATATATATATCCCATTATATACCACTATATTTATCTATATCCCATTTTATCCCATTGTATCCCATTCTGTTATCCATTATCTATATCCCACAGTTGTTATATCCCATTATATCCATCTATATCCCATTTTATCCCATTACGTATCCTTAATTCCCATTATCATCATCATTGTTAAGAGCGAAATCCTCTATAATTGGCATGGAAGGTTTCATTCTGTTCCACTATATCCCATTCTGTCCCATTAAATCATCATTAAATCCCATTAAATCCCATTAAATCCCATTAATTCCCATTAAATCATCATCAAATCCCATTCAATCACTATTCTGTTCCACTATATCCCATTAAACCTCCATTTTCCTATGGTTTTCCTATGGTTTTCCTATGGTTTTCCTATGGTTTTCCACTAATGTAGCCCAAAATGATTAGATCATCTCCCACGGAAGGCCGCGGCCGGGTGTCTGGTACTGCAGCTCTTTTCTCCAGGACCTCGGAGACAATGGGAGGGAGATCAAAAACTCGTGAGATTTGCTATGATATTCTATGATAATCTATGACTATCTATGATAATCTATGAAGATCTATGATAATGTATGAAGATCTATCAAAATCTATGATTATCTATGATAATCTATGAAGATCTATGATTACCTATAATTATCTATGAAGATCTATGACTATCTATGATAATCTATGAAGATCTATGGCAATTTATGATAATCTATGAGTATCTATCAGAATCTATAAAGATCTATGATAATGTATGAAGATCTATGATTATCTATGATATCTATCAGAATCTATGAAGATCTATGATAATCTATGATAACCTATAATTATCTATGAAGATCTATGACTATCTATGATAATCTATGAAGATCTATGGCAATTTATGATAATCTATGAGTATCTATCAGAATCTATAAAGATCTATGATAATGTATGAAGATCTATGATTATCTATGATACCTATCAGAATCTATGAAGATCTATGATAATCTATGATAACCTATAATTATCTATGAAGATCTATGACTATCTATGATAATCTATGAAGATCTATGGCAATTTATGATAATCTATGAGTATCTATCAGAATCTATAAAGATCTATGATTATCTAGGAAGATCTATGATAATCTATGATTATCTATGATAATCTTTGATCATCTATGATTATCTAAAATTATCTATCAGAATCTCTGAAGATCTACGAAGATCTATGATAATCTATGAAAATCTATGAAGATCTAATGTTATCTATGATTATCTATGATAATCTATGAAGATCTATGATAATCTATGAAGATCTATGATAATGTATGAAGATCTATCAAAATCTATGATTATCTATGATAATCTATGAAGATCTATGATTACCTATAATTATCTATGAAGATCTATGACTATCTATGATAATCTATGAAGATCTATGGCAATTTATGATAATCTATGAGTATCTATCAGAATCTATAAAGATCTATGATAATGTATGAAGATCTATGATTATCTATGATATCTATCAGAATCTATGAAGATCTATGATAATCTATGATAACCTATAATTATCTATGAAGATCTATGACTATCTATGATAATCTATGAAGATCTATGATTACCTATAATTATCTATGAAGATCTATGACTATCTATGATAATCTATGAAGATCTATGGCAATTTATGATAATCTATGAGTATCTATCAGAATCTATAAAGATCTATGATAATGTATGAAGATCTATGATTATCTATGATATCTATCAGACTCTATGAAGATCTATGATAATCTATGATAACCTATAATTATCTATGAAGATCTATGACTATCTATGATAATCTATGAAGATCTATGGCAATTTATGATAATCTATGAGTATCTATCAGAATCTATAAAGATCTATGATTATCTATGAAGATCTATGATAATCTATGATTATCTATGATAATCTATGATCATCTATGATTATCTATGATTATCTATCAGAATCTATGAAGATCTATGAAGATCTATGATAATCTATGATAATCTATGAAGATCTAATGTTATCTATGATTATCTATGATAATCTATGAAGATCTATGATAATCTATGAAGATCTATAAAAATCTATGATAATCTATGATATCTATGATTATCTATAAAGATCTATGATAATGTATGAAGATCTATGATTATCTATGATATCTATCAGAATCTATGAAGATCTATGATTATCTATGAAGATCTATGATAATCTATGATTATCTATGATCATCTATCAGAATCTATGAAGATCTATGATAATCTATGATAACCTATGATTATCTATAATAATATATGAGAATCTATGAAGATCTATGATTATCTTTGAAGAGCTATGATAATCTATGATTATTAATGATTGTCTATGATAATCTATGATTTATCTATGACGATCTATGAGAATCTATGATTATCTATGAAGATCTATGATTCTATGATAATCTATGATTATCTATCAGAATCTATGAAGATCTATGATAATCTATGATTATCTATGAATATCTTTGATAATCTATGATAATCTATGATTATCTATAAAGATCTATGCCAATCTATGATTATCTATCAGAATCTATGATTATCTATCAGAATCTATGACAATCTATCAGAATCTATGATTATTTAAGAGAATCTATGACAATCTATCAGAATCTATCATTATCTATCAGAATCTACGACAAACTATGACAATCCATCAGAATCTATTATGAGAATCTATGGCAATCTATCAGAATCTATGATTATCTATCTGACTCTATGATTATCTATCAGAATTTATTATTATCTATCAGAATCTATGATTATCTATCAGAATCCATGACAATCTATCAGAATCTATGATTATCTATCAGAATCCATGACAATCTATCAGAAACTATGATTATCTATCAGAATCTATGATTATCTAATAGAATCTATGATTATCTATCAGAATCTATGATTATCTATCAGAATCTATGATTATCTATCAGAATCTATGACAATCTATCAGAATCTATGATTATCTATCAGAATCTATGATTATCTATTAGAATCTATGATTATCTATCAGAATCTAAGACAATCTATCAGAATCTATGATTATCTATCAGAATCTATGATTATCTATTAGAATCTATGATTATCTATCAGAATCTTTGACAATCTATGATAATCCATAATGATCTATGATCTAGGATGATCTATATCGATGATGATCTAAAACTATGATAACGGTGAGAGCAGGATAATCAAATCTATGATGATCTATGTTTAGATTTGGAGATGCCACAAGAACAGAGATGGAGATGCCAATGGTCTTGGCTCAAAACCGAGGTACCTTCATGGACCAACATTCCCAGGGACTTTCGTAGGGTCTCCCGTTCAAGATGGACCCAATAGGAACCCAATGGGAACCCAAAGATGGCCGGTAGTCCAACAGTCCCAGTCATGTTATTTTTCCCATTCTTCTGGAGGTTTTTTTTCCTTCCAGCCATCCCCCTCTGGTAATCATAAGATCATGTCCGAAAAAACCATCCATGTATGGTCAATCTTCCCATTACAAAGGGCTCTTTTCCAGCCAGCGGTGTTTTGCTCGCGTACTAGCAATATTAAAATATCATGTGTATATACAGTAGAATATATTACACTGCCATTGTGACTAATTACCATTATTCAGGCTATCAGCTATCATCCTTACTATTATAATTAGTTTTTTTTGATTATAATATGTAATGTGGTTAAAACAATAATAAGCCACCCATTTGGGAATGGTTTAGACCAACCATTTATGGTGACTTTTGGGATGGTTTTTTATTGTTTTACCCTTCCGCAAACGTCCTGCAACTACGCTAAGATCAACTGAACGAAGCTCCGCTGTGAATGGAAGCAGATTGGCAACGCCTAACTAATGGAATTAATTACTAATTATAAGTACGAGTTTTCCTCAAGCTTGTCAAGAGGGTGTTTGAATTCGCTCTGACCTATTTCACTGGGCACATCAAGTGCAACTAGCCAGAGGCTCTTGCAGGGCATGTGTCGCTTTCGGTCATCTATTTTTTTCTTGGTTTTTTCTGTTTTTGTTTCTTCTCTTTTTGCCAGGTATAATTTTTATAGTTATGCCATAGAACAGCTCTTGTCTTGTCGAGTAAGATGGCGTCCTCGGCCAACACCGGCCCTTGGTATGAGCCAGCAAGGCAAAGGGGATATTTTAACTTCGGGGTCTGCTTGGGTTTTATATGTTGGGACGTCAATAGTCATTGAGGATCTGAACAGTTTTTTGGTGGTTCGGCAATACCACGCGTCTACTTACCCATTGTTTCTGCAAGCTCGCTCGTAGTATTTTGGCAGCGGGGTTTGTGCAACTTTTTCAGCAGGGATCAAAGAAAAACCAACATTGGATTCTACGTCGCAATTGCGCTAGTGAAAGCAGAAACTTCCTGACCAAGGGTTTTATGTGGGGACAGCCACGGGTAGATAGATGGCGACTGCCAAACTTGTCGGTGGGACGCAAGCTTAACTGGTGTAGCTAAACCTGTGGTTATTCGAAATAATATGAGTAACTCAACCCACTGGGTGGTGGGATTCACGTCATCATCATACCATGTTAAGATTTCAGGAAAGAAAAAAGGACTGCAGAATATGTTGCCCCCCAAGCTGATCTACTTAAACTTCAGAACCGCAATCATCTGCCATCTGAAATGGGCATGGGAGCAACAATGCCTCTGGCTCAACAGATATGCTTCACAGGGTTCTGCCGAATCTGAATTTTGCAACTGGGCTTCGTTATTGTTTTACCCACATTACGTGGATTGACTATTAACCATCATTAACCATCAAATTAACCATCATTAACCATTCTTATTAACCGTTATTAACCGTTGTTGACCATCATTAACCATCTTATTAACCATCTTATTAACCGTTATTAACCATCATTAACCATCATTAACCATCTTATTAACCAGCATTGTGTATCCACATTTCTGTTGCTGTGCTGAAATCCCAGGCAGTGGGCACTCTCCAAGGCCTCGACTCGGCTGTCAGCGACACTTGACAAATCTGTCCAATGATGGGCCTGTGCACATGGCGAAAAGTTTTTTGGGGCGGAGGTTTCCTAAAATGGATGGTCTACCCTCTGGTAAATGTTTACATAACTATGGAAAATCACCATGTTTCATGGGAGGACTCACGACATTTCGACTGGGCCATTTTCAATAGCAAACTGTTAGTTTACCAGAGGGTAAATCACCATCAATCACCATTAATTAATCACTAATCACCATTAATCACTATTAATCACTATTAACCATCATCATAACTATTCATCATGGAAAATCCAATCTCTCAATGGATGATTTGGGGTCCCCCCATGGACTTCGGAAACCTCCAACGGTTTCCGAAACCGGAGATTTCAACCGGAACGGAGGCACCCTTGATGGTCCGAACGGAGATGTCAACGTATAGAAAAAAGTCATCCATCCCATTCCTGGTCAATCTTAGTATGGTATAGTATAGTTTAGTATAGTCTAGTATAGTATAGTCTAGTCTAGTATAGTATAGTAATCCCATTCGGATATGGAATTAGTAAACCATCCCATCTTTAGGTCATTTTTGACTGCCCATAATGTTTGTCGCATCGCGACCGTTTTCTTCGAGTTGACTTGCCACAGTTACAAACTCGCAGGATCCTGGTTGATTTGCAGGCAGCCCATCTCAAAATTTACTGGGGACGAGTCACATCAAGTATATACATATATAATTGTATAATATGTGTATGTCTAATTCTATGTATAGTCTGTATATATATATACTATATATATATGCAGACATTGTTGAATAGAGAGCAAAACACAAACTAGGTTGGAGGGAATCGCCCCCAAAAGTTTTAGCTTACCGTGCTGCAAAGGTGGAACCCCCTTCAAAGGTATGGGGCACCAATCGACTTGACAGCTCGACTATCTTTCTATCAGACCGAAATTGAGAACACCCCCTGAGATCCCATGGGTAGTTTTTACTACACTAAGTCCTAAATTGAATTTAAGGCCATGTTTTATGGCACAATTTCATCATATCTGGGGTCCCGTGGTCAGCCATGAGCTCCCTAAAAGTCATTCCAAACACAAGCTTAGGACATCACATTTCGGTGATCTACCTTTCTTGGACGGGGCGTTTTCACCAGATTGGCTTCAGATCACAGCTGCAAGCTTCGCGCAAAACGCAGTCTTTTGCTTCAGCGGTTGCAGAGTTCTCTGTTGGCTAAGCCAAAGAGATGATCATTGAAACTCAACCTGGCAAAATCCAAGGTCTGTTGATGGGGGAGGTGGGTGAATCATAGTGAGAATCCAGCCAAATCCTATAAGAAACGCACAAGAAGGGAAACTCGTATAGCTGACATTTTTGAGGATATCATGTGAGCAGGAATGGAGGCGACCGATGCTGGAAAAAAGTTGTTGGTTCAGGTCCAGATTTTGAATCATCCACGGTGAAACGATTTCCACCAAAATGAGAGTATCTTCAAACAACAACTGGTTGGTGGTGCAATAACCATCCTGAAAAATATGAGTTCGTCAATGGGAAGGATGACATCCCATATATGAAATGGAAAATAAAATTCATGTTTGAAACCACCAACCAGACAAGCATTAGTGAAGGATTACTTGGCTACACCTCCCATCAAGAGACTACGGATTGGCACACGTACATTGGTTTGTCTGTAACAAGTTTGATGACTTGTCATCACTTTCCCTGTCAAAATTGCCATGTTGGGATGTCCGGATATCCCCCATTTTCAGAGACACCCATACCTTCAAACGCAGGGAGAAATGAAGGAACGCAAAGGCATCCACTGACACAGCAGCAACACGAAATGTGACCGTGACTTGAACTTTAAAACCCCACAATCCTTGTCAACACAAACCGCAACAAATGGCAGGGCAAAACTACATCACAGAATTAGTCATGTTTGGTAATTGTCTAACCATAGCAGAATGGACGTTGCTTTCCCTAGTATCAACCTGAAAATACATTTCAATGGAAGGCAATTGGGTTTATCTGGAAATAATTAGAGTAATTATCCCCAAATCCACTATAACATTGGTTAACAACAAGTTCGCCCATTAATCTTGCCAGAGACTGGGATGAATACGCCGTTTTCAGTGAGACCATATCCCAACAAGGGCAGGGTAAATCGTCCGAACAAAATTTCCAAAATTGGCCAAGCAACACGTCAACATGTGGCCTGAGACCAGCTACAGTCATGGCAAGGAATTTGTCAAGCATGGTTTGTTATGATATCAGGCATGATTTCAGGTATGTATCATCTCAGTCTTTAGTGGAACTAAATGATCATGCTACTCTCTAAAACATAGATATTGATTCGAATCATGAACATATTTCTCAAATAAATGGTCATGTGTGAGAAACTATCATGCTACTTTTGCTTTTTTTTGAAGATTGGTCAAACTCCTCAAAATTAAGGGCACCACCTTTTTTGTGATCTTTGGTGCTTAATCATCTTGTTCTTTGCTACCCCTACTTTGAAGCAACTCCAATCATGGCACACTGGGATGACCTTTTATAAGGTGCAAGGTGAAGCATGATCTGAACCTTGCCTCGTGATGCCCCTTTTCTTAACATGATGACATGGCTAATCTTGGATACCCAACAAGTTCCATTTACATATATACTATATATATATATAGTGACAAAAATGATCTATATAATGTGGTAAACACAACGCTATAACCCACCCCCAATGGGATGTAGGTTAAACGGTTACTTTTTGGGTTTACCACATTATGAGAAAGTATGAACCTAACGAATGAAATTGAAGCTGGGAATTATAGTTTCATTGCGGGATGATTAATCAGTATCATTGGTCTTTATTGAAATCAGTGACTAAATTAATGATGTTCATCATTTAATTCAAAAAATTGCTGGATGATTACCCTCTGGTGAACTAACATAGCTATGGAAAATCACCATGCTATTAATGGGTAAATCCACTATTTCTATGGCCATTTTGAATAGCTACGTCAAATTACCGGAGAGTAATCACTATCATTGATTTCTCATGTTCATGTCGATGAATCGGGGTTCATCCCCATCCATCCCCATCCGTGCCAGGCGGCAAAATCCTTGTCCCAGCCTGGGCCATACGGCAGGCAGGTGTCAAGTCCAATCATGTCAACCCCGGAACGCTTGGGCTGTGAAAAATAGGGGGTAGCATTGAAGTAGCACAACCAGGTCTGGGGTTGACATTATCCAGAAACCAGGAAACTGATTTTAGATACCCAGTGAGACAGTGTCATCATGTTTCATCACTGGGTCGCAACTTCCCCAAAAATTATGGCCAAAAATAAAAGAATCAATCTACCCAACGACATATATATATATATATATATACACGAAGCTACAAACTTTCCAAGAATTATCTGGCCAAGGCCACATGATTTTCAGACCATAACTGTGGCCCCTCGACCGTGGGTATCTCAAAAGGAATTTGGTCATCTTCGTTGAGGACAAAAACAGTGCTGTGCGGTAAATCTGAATACACCAGCGCCCCAGTTTGTGTTTTTTTTTTTTCCAGGCAGAGGGTTTTCATTGGGTTTATGATCCAAATTACAGAATTATGTTTCCAAATAAATGGCTATTGTTCTATAAATAATGCATCCTGGTTGTCATAATTGTACTCATATGTTTTTATTGTCGTGATGACTGTGCATTTCATTCTGATACAGTAATCATCATGAAAAACATGATGATTACAGTATCATGTCATGAAGCATGCTATATATAAATATGTATATCATTACTATCATCATCGTTATTGTGTGTGTGTCATGTTTTCCATGATGGTATATATATATATATATAGTGTACGTATACATATGTATATATATATATATACATACCAGTGCTATGTACCATACAATTATTCTTAGTACCATGATAGTATTGTATTTATCTGGGAAAATTATCATAATTCAGATGACTGGTTACATTTGTATATATATATATATATCATTAATCATTATTATACATATACCATTTAATCCCATATAAATCGATGGTTTCTTACTACACGGTTTCACCTTTTCTTCCAGGATTTGAAAACGTTGAAGTCGCAACCCGCGTTTTCTTGCCAGGGGACCGGAGCCATCGTCGACATATTCAATGAAGCGAGGCAACTCGTCCGGATGGACACCTTTCGACCGAAGGAAGGACGTCCAAGATTTCATGGATTTTGAGATATGTGTGCGTGTTTTTTTTTTTTTTTTTAAGACATCTTTTAAGATATGTTGTAATACAGTATTGTCTTGTATTTTATCATAGTATCATATTATTATTGTATTATATATTACATGGAATTATATATTCTATTGTATTGTACTATGTATATATATATATTAGTACATTGGAGTAGATTGTACTGTCATATCAAGTTATTACATCACTCTATCTATATGTCTGTGAGATATTCTATATTGGGGTTTGAGCAGCTGCACTGGGTTGATGTTTCTAAGATAATTTTCACAGGGAAACATCTGGGTTCTTCGAGTCCTTGGACCAAGTCTGGGATAGATCTGGAAATTGGATGAAATTGGACATTTCCCCACAAAACCCTGGGTTGAATACCGCAATATGGTGAGTTGACTGCACTGGAGAGCTCATTGGTATATAATCTACTGTATATATATATATATCATTATATATATATATATAGAGCATTATATATATATATATAGCATTATATATATATATATATAATTATAATTATATATATAGTCTACTCTTAAAGGATGAAAGACCAGACACTGGAGGGTGGGAAATCAAACATCCGAAAGACATCACCTTCTAACTCTTTCCGAGGTGAAACATCCTGGTGGAGTTTTGACCGGCATTTGACTACTGATTGACGACTGATTCCACCCTAAAGTGAAGACCAGGTTTCACACTGGAATGGATAGTCCAATATTTTTTTCCTCTCGAATATGGTCACAAAGGTCATGCTTGATTCAGGCAAAATCCTGGCACAATATTGCCAAACTTCCCCAAAATGGTGGATGCAAACGCATGATGCAGCATTAATATCAATCCAGGATTGAGAAAACCAGTGTTTTCAAATTGGGGGTACCATTTACAAAGAGAAAATCTCAACATTTTGGAAACCCACCATGTCTGAATGGTCGTGGTTTTAACCATCTTGAAAAATATTAGTCAATGGGAAGGATTATCCCATATATTATGGAAAATAAAAAATGTTTGAAACCACCAAGCAGATGTTAATAAACCAAGATGCTGAAGTTGGCTAAGTCTTTTTTGCTCTTCACTTTCGGAAGGAATGGAGCTTCCTGGGCATCAGCAACGGTCTGGCAGCAGCTTTCAGTGGTGACTGATCATATGTTGGTCATCTTTAGTAACTTTTGTAACTTTATGTCTGTTCTATTTTCCAATCCCATATTCAACAAAAATTCAGTCTGTCGTGGCATTTGGAAAACAATCATAGTATATCGGATATATATATATATATATCATGTTTTCAAATCCCATATCCTTTTCCATGTTCATAGGCCCAAGTAAGCTCCACAGCCCCCTGTCGGCTCCCCATTGCTTTGGTGCCGAGGTGCTAGGGTGAAATCTTGGAACTTGTCCCAATTGAAGCCCTTGTACCATGCCTTAGAAACGAACTCCGAAACGAGGTGAGTTCTATGGAAATTGAGGAAATTCACCAAGAAAGGATGGCACTAATAAGGTACATGAAATAAGAAAACATGATGGAAAAAATTGGGATGATTTCACTCATCTGAATAGTTGGGCCATGGCTGGGGATGATTCCCCTGAAATAAACCATGATGAACCAGGGTTCGGGATGATTCCGCTGTGAGGTCCTCATAATTTGCCCAGATGATGCTTAGCCATGCTTAGCCATAATTGACTTGCTGGTCCCATCCAAAAAGTGAAGCTGCTGGCGAAGCTGCTGGCCCACTCGTCATTTTTAGGGATGAAAATTGCGAGAAAAATATCTGAAACTGCCAAACTCTTCGACGTGCTTTGGGTGTCTCTTTTGTAATCACACGTGGCTACTAGTAGCTAGCAGCTAGGAAATCCCCGAACTCAATGGAGGTCTATAGCAGGAAGAATCATTTATGAATGGTGGATTCTCCAGCAAGCCATGTTTGATTACCAGAGATTAAGTTTGGGATAAAATGGAATTACCGGGCCATGGGATATAAATGGGATACCAACGCAAGGCTTGTATGCTTTTATCATCCCCAAGAAATTGCAAAACTGCGACTGAACCATCACTTCTTGCTGGGATTGGGCCAAACCCCAAGATTAAGATCTGAAAAACGCGCCAAAAGACATGAAGATGCTAATATGGTCATGTTGTTGGCCGCATAAAAATCATGTTTCTGAATTGAAATACGAAAAAAAACTCCAGTGTCATCAAACATGGCTTGCTGGAAAATAACACCTCCATTTTTGTTGGGACGTGCCTCGTCATCAGGACGCTGCAAGGACCATCAACCTCTTGGTATGTACCCCAAAGATGTAGGTACTTGGAGGAGCATTCCACAAAGGTAAGTGGCTAACAACCGAAGTTGGAAACCATTTATAGATGGCATAACGCACTTAGGGGACTTATTAACATGGGTTATTAAAAGAGTTTCTAAGTGGAATGATCCTCCAAGTTTACATACACACACCCAGTGCACAAACGCGCTTTTTGGTTGACCTCCCTGAGTAATTTTAGATGTTGTTCCTTACCCACCACCATTCTTTGTTATTGTCATGTTGATTCTATATTATGATATATATATATAATGTATATAATATATTATATATAATATATAATATATATATATATAATATATATATATAATATTATATATATTTATATTATAATATATATATATATATATATTACAATATATATATATTGTAATTATATGTATATATTATATATTATATAATATATATATATATAGAATAATTATATATGTATACTCAAGCTGAGGACATTGCATTAGCGTTTCTTGCAGTCCTCCTCTGTTTTTCGCCCCACATCATCCCAGTCCCAGTGATCCCATTGATCCCAGTGATCAGCGCCAGGGGACATGTGATTTGATGTTCTTCGATCCGCCCGTGAGCATTGGCAGCCGATCTGCCGGCTCCTTTTGGCATATCGCCTGATAATCCATGGGAACGGCCGTTGGTTGCCCCGGGTTCCATGGGGTTGGAACATCCTGGAAGTCATGACATTTTTTCACCATGCCGGCTGTTACCCTCTGGTAATTTAACATAGCTATAGAAAATCACTATTTTTAATAGGTAAACCATCTATAAATGGGCCATTTTCCATAGCTATGTTAGTTTACCAGGCCGGGTACCTCTTTGTTGCTTTGTTGCATCGGGTCGGTTTTTGGTGCGTCACATCTCGTTGACTCTGAAACCTGGTTTAGTGTTCCCAGCATTTTCCATCTCCTGTGATTTGACTCGTCCAGAAATTTCTCAAATGACATGCTCAAATAAAACAAAGTTGCTCACATCAAAAATGGTGGTGAAAGTACCAGTGAAACTGTGTCATCCAAAGGCTTGCTACAGGATATTCCAGCCCTCAAATAGATCCAAAATCCTTTTAGAAACGCTGAATTTGTCCGTTTTTTTTTTCATTCCAAGAATTCGCCAAGCTGCAAGTTTTGCCCGCTTTGATATGGTGAAGCAAACTATCATTTATCAGCTCCAGAAATAGTGGCCAAGCCAAAAATTCATCCAATTCGATTCTGTTGCTGCAGGATGATTCACATTGTGGCCCATCCTCAAAAAGCAACAAAGCTGTTGGTGGATGTAATCCAATCGCAGGCACGAAAATGCAATCACCGTCCAGGATGTGTACTTTGTTTAACCATGTTTAACCTACTAGAAACTAGCGATCATACTTAGCGTCGACATGCCCGTGTCTCGTAGAAGGACTTAAACTCCACATGGGCGTTTGGTGGTACCCCCAAACCATCGAAAATTTAGTGTTGAACCTATTGTTTTGGGGATCTCCCACTTTAAGAAACCGTCAACTCAAAGAAATACAAAAATTCCGGGACCTTCATGTGACCATTGAGGAATTTGGATCTTTACCGGCTTTGGAATTCAGCTCAGATCACTTCCTCCCATGGATTTGCCCACGGAAACTAAACAGAAACTACTGCAATTCTGCACATCTCCATGTCTAGATCTTGGGGTTCCCATTTCAGAATCAACTGTTACTCGATCCATTTCAGGGGTCTATATGTCGATATTTTTGGCAGGGTGGCCCAATCGCCCCTTGGTCTACCATTGCCTTGATGATGTCAACACATTGTGGAGAAAGCTGCGGAGGGAATTTCACAGCACTGATCCCTTTCCTCAACGCCAGCGAAATCGAGCCAAGGGCGGCCAAGGGCCTTTTCAAAATAAGCCACTTAGCCACTTAGCCAATGGGGTAAATAGATGTTACTAGTGGTGAATATAATAGTGTTTAACAGCGGGCAATAGATGGTTAGTAGTGGTTAATAGATGTGAATAGATGGTTAAAGGTCATTAGTTAATTAGTTGATGGTTAATAGTGGTTAATGTGGTAACCCCAATAAGAACCCACCCAAAAAAATCACCATAAAAGGATTGTGTAAAGCATCCCCAAATGGTAGGTTTATGGCATTGGCTTTTACCACTTTAGTTTGCATCCAGAACATTGTCTGGTTGGTCAAATCAAGAGAAGTTCAGAGTGTCACCAGGGTCTTCGGCCCACATCCTAATGATTCGTGAATTCTCCACAGTCGCAGTGAGGCTATCCAGCTAGTATTGCTTGAGTGTCATGGGCCATGACCTAGCGATATAGCCGTAATATTCGGTTGTCATACTTCGAAACAACTTTGACATCGGCCTGGGTCAAAATGTGTGACTCCAAAAAAGTGGGTGTTTGTATACAAGAATGGATCCAAACCTATGCTTGAAGGGGCCTTATTTGTTTGTAGACTAGAAATTGATCTCAGTGTCAACCTAGCACAAGGACATTGATCTCAGTTGGAATCATCACAGAAAAACAATGCCATGTCTACCACCCATTTTCCGGGAATGGTAAACATACCACCGTTTTTAAAATGGTGATGACTGGGGGATGGTGGGTTTATGGCATTGTTTTACCCACAAAAAACTCTACGTAACAGGCCACAACCCCAGGACATAGTTACTTAGTTGAAACCACCAGGAGAAACGATCTTTGGAGAAAAAATGTCGGAGACCGTACCCCCAACGAACCGTAACTGACCCATTCGAAATCGCCCCCAAAAAAATCAGGGATCTATGTTTCAGGGATCGTATCACCCAAGTTTCCATCACTAAGAAAATTACCCATGAAAACATCACATATAGAAACTCCCAATAGGAGATGCCAAAAAGTGTGTTTCGCCAGGATGGTAGTTCCGTGATATTTCTCTGTTTTGCAGGTTTCAACGTTTCCAACGTTTCTATCGCATTATAATCATTGCCTCGGGTTTTAATGATTCCCGGCGTAGTGGACTTCCCATTGGGAACATGAGCTGTGCTCAATTGTCGACTCAGCAAGCAAAACCAGGTGTATTATTTCATTATGTACCAATAAATTATGCCATGATATCTCATTGCATCACCATATTTGATGCACTAATATATTATTAAATTTGTTATTTGATGATATTCCCATTTTCATATTCCACTATATCCAGGTAACCATTGACCATTGACCATAATCAATCATCATTAACCATCATCAATCATCATCAACCATCATCAATCATCATTAACCATCCAGGTTGATCATCCAAAAATCTTTGTGCAAAGTCCAAGTCTGAGGACTTTGGCATAGATCTGCATGGGGTATGGGGCCTCAAAGGGGGCTGATCCCGTCATGAACTCGTAGATCAACACACCAAGCATCCACCTGTGGAGCTGTTCGACTGGCTCTTGGGCCGGATGTTGGGTGGCGTTTGGCAGCATGCCTGGATAGCATGTGCAAAGACATGCATTTTTATGTGTATATAATAGTACATATTTATATATACTGCATATATAAAAACATATACCTATATATATATATATATACTTGGATTGTTTCTCCACAGTTAGTCTGCGTCAGATGCTCATATTCAAACTCATAGATCGTGTATGGGTGCGGTGTGGGTGCATTTAGGAGCCATGAGCACGCTATGGTTGTTGGTCAAAATCCTGGTACCCAAACGGTACCGAAAAATAGCTGGTTAATGGATGGCTATTCCCCAAATCATGCTAATAAATCTACCCTCTGGTAATTTAACATAGCTATTGAAAATGACCATTTATAGTGGATTTACCCATGAAAAATTGTGATTTTCCATAGTAATGTTAGTTTACCAGAGGGTAATAATAGGTGTTGACCCCCAAAATTGAAAAGAACATGAAGTGAATACGTCTGGGTCGTGCAAAGCCCTCGAACAAATGCTCAAGTGACGGCACTGGGTATGGCAAGATATTGCTTTCTGTGCAATCTCCATCTAATTTTGCTGGGCTCCAAATACCTTTTTGCGGATCCAATTCAGGAGGCTGCTCACTGTGCCGGAAAAACAGCACATGGATGGATCAATTTCACATTCTGACTGGAAATTAAACAGTCTCTGTGGGGAAACACCATTAAAAACACATGTTCATTGGTGGTTAGATGCAATCCCCAGCTGCATCTTGAATCTTGGTGACCAAAATCAACAGTTGCTGTTGATAAAATCAACATGCGAGCAATTTCCAAAAGCTCTTGTGGACCAGTTCTGCTGGTTGGTTCGGACTTCAATTCCCACAATGGATTATATACAGATAAGGACCAGTAAACCAGGTGGTAGAATCCTATAATTTCTATAATGGCCACTCAACTCGAGTTTTGCTCCAATTCCCATATTTAAACGATTTTACAGTTGAAACCCACATGTTTGTTGGGTCAGCACGCTGTCTTTGCTTGTTCAATCCATTTGATCCCTGATTGATTCCCGATGTGGATTAAATCCGTATGTTTCCTGGCTAAACACATGTTTTTGGTGCTGAAACCCCCTTTTTTGATGATTCAATCACCATTTTTAGCTCAATAAATCCCAACTTCTGCTAGTGAAATCACCATTTTGCTGTTGAAAGCAGCAGTTTTGCTCCTTGAATCCCTCCCAACCGCATAACTCTTTGCTCAGGTGCCAGTCAACCGCGTGGGTGTGGCCGGTGGATGCAATGACCTCCGGTGCGAAGTAGTCCGGAGTTCCTCGGATGAGAAAAGGCAATGTCCTATGAAAAATGGTGATTTAATGGTATATATTAATGGATGGAGTCATGGATATAATCGGAATATCATGGATATAATATAAATATGGATTTAATGAATATGAAAACATTTAATCAACTAGAATTGTGAATTACTGGAATATAATAGGAATATCATGGAGATAAACACATGATATATATATATAATATAATATATATACTATATACAATGGGGGTAATTTTACCATGAAACACAACAAATATAGAAAATTACAACCAACCACAATGGGAATTGGAATATGATGGAGATATGACGGAGATATGCTGGAGATATGATGAGGGTATTTGAAGGGATACAACTTACAAACAATTTGATAATTGCATAATCATGTGTGCTACCATGTTTTCAGGGAAATTAAGCAACAAAAATTGGGCTGTATATTGTATTGTATAACCACTGATAGTGGGAGAATGGGAATATTATGGGATAATAACCAACTTGAAGAATGTGGAATTAATCAGTTAGCTCATGTTTTCTTCTACCAGACAGCTCGGGATTTTAATGAGTTAACCAATCAAACATGATGTGATTCAGCCGGATTCAGCTGGTCGAACCCAAGTGGCTTTTTAATGGGGATACCATGGATCCCAGAAGCTCTCGGTAGTATGGTGTAACCATGGTATCCTATTAGACATCCTATTGTTTGTACAGATATCTTCACTTTTTTTTAGGCTATACATGGTCGGATATATATATATATATACAGGGATATCCCCAAAAGACAGAAGGATGAGAAGACAAAAGACTGAGATCATCAACAAATCTGCGTGTGATATATGATTGAGATGCAATCAGTAACAATGAAATCGTTCTACAAATCATGTTTCGAAGCCAGTTTGGTCTCAGCTTTGCCAGCATTCACATGTCGTTGTGAAACATAAGACGGTCCTAATATATTCATACGAACCAGCAACAAACATGATCTTGGCAAACAAAAAATGCATATCAATAGCTGGGATGTAACCAATGATGACAATCAGTGGCCGCAACAATTTTTCCATGAGATCAGGAGGCATCAGAAGGGGATTTCACCGAGAAAAAACATGTCAAAACTAGCCGATATGGGACACTTGAGAGGGATTTTAATGTAATCAGAATAAAGTAATGATACAACCGCAATATTATGATCATACAATCATAATCTACCTTGCAATATGTCATTTTCTATCAGTATCTATAATATTCTATAATCTATATGTATAGTATAGGAAATGAGTTCTTTCCAACACAAAATGAGACAAGAAAGAACCACAGGATTCTCAGGTCTTGGCCACTGCTCAGATGCCAACGGGGGGATTTGGAAAGTTCTACACGGCTTTGTCTGAAAATTGGGTTGACCACAAATCCACTGAGTAATTCTTCAGCATGTATATCTCTGTATATCTCTCTCTCTCTCTCTGTATATCTCTCTCTCTCTCTCTTTTCTATAAAATATTATATAATATTATATCATATAGTAAAATATATTATATATATATAATTATATATGACATATATATATGATATGATTATATATGCACATGTTCTTCTCTATATGTGTATATATATATATATATACGTGTAAGCATGTCTAAGCCATTTTGGATATCCCCCACTTTCAGACAAAACCAACAGTGCCACAGGTACTTTCGACCCCACCTAGCTGCACCTAGCTCATCCAGGGATCATTCTTGAAAGCTACACAGGAAACCATTCTTGGCTGACAACCTTTGATGATTTTATGCAGTTGATGCTTCAAAACACTCTGGTGTCCTGCAAAAAGTCTATGCAAACTCCCTAAGATATCTCAAACCAGAGTGGATATCAAAAACACACACAACAAAAAAACATACAAGGTGGTGCCCCCCAGTTATAAGTTGGTTTATAAGCCCATTAACTATAGATATATCACCTATAAACCATAGTTATGGGAGTTATAAACCAACTTAGCTATCTTGGGGGCACCACCTTGTAGGAGCACAAACTCCCTAAGAGTCCGTGAAATATCTGTTTGGTTTGGCCGTTCGGCCCCATTTCTGTTGTCAAAAGTCGTCCCCCATCCAAGGTACCGCAGGTGGTATAGGTCTTACCGATCACGAACTTGGCTAAGCCCATGTCGGTGACCTGGCAATTTCAGTCCCAACCACGGGAAAACCCATGGGTTTTAGCAAGCCCTGGGAAGACCATGGGTTTTAGCAAACACATCTCAAAGAAATCCTGGGAAATGAGGGATGATGCGAATAACATGGAATAACTCAGATGGAGATGAACATTGACAAATTCTTGGGAATAGAATAGAAGCAATCAGTCGCATTCTTCAAACTATGTACTTCATTTTACTTACTGGTCAACCATGGTTAACTATGGTTCCCCTTTTTTAAGACATATCATCTAGAGACCGCATCACATCAAGAGAGCCATCTTGTGAGTGGTTTCTGGCCGGATTCCATAGCCATCAATGGTTAGCCATAGATAAACATTAGTTGTTTTAACCCATGGTAAAATTAATGAATCTATCATGTTACACGTCAGTTTTTAGATACCCACAAATGCATCATCAAATTTCTGGAAGTGCTGGAAGATCGATCGTCATTTAGATGTATTTCCCAGTGAAAAAGCGAATTCCAGCCATCCTTCGGGAATTTTCCAGCCACGTTTGATGACACCGCAGGGTGGTTTTAACTGTTACAAATCACGGATCACGGATCACTCACGGATTCTTCAAATTAAGTGTTACAAATTAACTGTTACTTGTTCCGTAATTGACTGTTACAAATCCGTTGTGATCTGTCTCTGATCACTCACGGATTTTTCATCGCAAACACTTGGCATCAGGTGAACAGTCCAGTCCAACCTGCATCCGCACCTTTCAACTTTCCACCAACATAGGTCTGTCCAAAAATGTGGTATAACCCCCAGGGTACTTGTTCAACGTGAAAATGATGCTTAACCGATTAACCCATGGATTTGTTGGGTAATTTTCATGCCATCTTCAATCGATTGTTGTTTGATCCTATGATATAGCTGTCCCTCGTTTCCATGTTTGCAGTCACAAACATTCTCGCCTTGAGATGACCCTTCTCGTTCAGGAGGAGGTTTTCAGGCTTCAAGTCCCTATAGATGATATGTCGTTCGTGCAAGTGGTCGAAGGCACACAGCACTCCGGCGGTGTAAAATTTGGCGTGCTTCTCGCTGCCGTAGAAACCTCGTTATATTCGCAATGGGAGAATAACGAGTGATCACATAGAGTTCACATAGCCCAATTGGATCCAAAGGAACAGGATGATTTTACCAAAAAAAATGGGAATATACTCCGAAATAATGATTCATGGGATACAGAATATAACTTTGTGTTTTCGGATATATAACATGAAATATCACCAACCATGAGTGGATCCAAGGGAAAATACCCCTTAGAAACATTTAGAAACATTGGAGTTTACCAGGGCTTTTTTTTACCAACATGATAGTAAGGTCCAGGATCCGATTGTGGCGCCAATGGGATGGATGAGGTGCCGTTTTGACCATGTGTTGTGTTGGTTGCAAGCTGCGAATGACTCCTTACTCCCTACTCTGTAATGACTCCAAAGGCGAATTCCTGTCATATTTCGTGTGGTGTTTTCACAGTGTTTTCAGCCCAGTTTCCAGGACGTTTTTTTCGAACAATTTTGTGCCACCCACAAATCGTTTTTGTCAAAGAGACCTTTCCGCTGGTACATGGAGTAGAGCTCTCCACCTAAGGCAGGCTCCATCAAGAAGTAGATACTCTGCTTGCCTTGGCAGGGCGTAGCAGCTGTCAAGTGATTGGTTTAGAGGGATCCACAGGAATGGTACAGTAAGGATCCCTATTCAATAATAAACCATCGCAAATTTGGATTTATATATTATATGAAATTATATGGTCTTATTATGTCTTATTCTTGTTTGGATTTATATATATGGGTTTATTCTTGGGTCCCTATTTGGAATGATGTAAAATGATCCCAAATGGCTGCTAGCGATGCGAAAAGGAACAACCTGCACGGCATCATTATTTCCGCACCGAGTTGCTGTTGTAGGTCTCATAAAGCCGAATGATGAAGTCCGAGTTCGTCATGAAGAGGATGTTCTTCTCTGTGATGACGCTATCCTATCAACTGGAAATGAAATGATCCAGGATCGTGGACACCAAAGTCAGATCCTGTGCTCTCAGATATGGGCAAGATCAAAATGGAGTGTGGTAACTCCAATGTCATTTGTGCATATATATACATACATACCATAAATCATCCCCCAATATTACCATTTTTATAGGTTGTAAAAAACATCCCCAATGGTAGATTATTGGTAATGTGGGTAAAACATGGTAAAACAATAATACCCATTTGGGAATGGTTTATACCAGTTTATACCACCTATAAAAATGGTGATGACTGGGGGATGGTAAACATGACATTGTTTTACTCAAAAAAAAGTGTGGTAGTGTGGTAACCCGCCATTTCTTGATGCTTACCCGTTTTTTGGTCAAACGAACTTCACGTTGCTATGGCTCCTGCATGCCGGTCTTCACGATGAAGCCTTTGCTAATACACTTCATGGCCTTGGATCAGAAGACCCAGGAAAAAACACACAGAGAGTGGTGAAAAGCTGCCGATATATATATATATATACACACGCACACACCTGTAAATACCCTTGTAAATATGTGATAATATGTTTGTGTATATATATATACTGTTATATTGTGTTTTCATATACGTATGTATATGTAAATACATGTTACTGCCATGGTTCAAAAAATGGTATATGGCTACGTGCATCCCACCATTATTCAGGACTCCTTTTATATAGTGGGTTCATAATTCTATATTAATGGGGGTATCCCCAATATGGTTGTATATATTTGCGTACATATGTATATAGTATATATATATGTGTGTGTGTGAGTGTCATCAAACTTTTGACCATGGCTACCATATGTATACATGCATGTATCATGTAATATAGCTCTAGATAGGTTTTAATGATTCACAAACCTGAAATAACGCAATGTTTGGGAACAGTTCCCCCAATCCAAACCACAACCTATAGTGACCTCGCAGTGAGGTTGTGGTTAAATTCTATCCAGATATAATCCCATTACCTATTATACATCGATTTGTGTTGGTTAGATCATCATTACCGCCAGTATTTCCCTTGTATCCTACAGCAGCTACGTTATACTTTAGATCGATATATTGGTCTTAAATACATATATATATATATAATTATACATACAGTATATATTATACATATATATATATATATTATTTACATATATATCATACATATATATTATACATATATATATATACATATATCATATATTATACATATATATATATATACATGTATATATATATATATATACATATATCATGTATTATATGTGTATATATACATATATATATATATACATATATCATGTATTATACGTGTATATATATAGTATGCATACATACATACATACATACATACATATATATATATATATTGTACATATATATATACATATATATATAGTACATATATATATATATATTGTACATATATATTGTACATAATGTACATACATATATATATATTGTACATATACATATACATTTACATATCACACAATATAATATATAATAATATAATACAATATAGTATAATATAATATAATATAATATATTTTAATGTAATATAATATAATATAATAAAATATAATACATTATAATATAATAGAATATAATATAATATAGTACATTTTAATATAATATAATATAATATAATACATTATAATATAATATAATATAATATAATAATATAATATATTATATTATAATATAATATATATATATCGTATATATATATATACATATACGTCCAGTATATCTCCCTTAGATCCCCATGAAACTCCTTTAATCACCATGAACCCCCCATGTTTTTTTCACCCAGCAGCGTAGGTCTCATGCGTGGCTTTATGTTCCCACAGCTCCACCGCTCCAAAGCCGCCAGCGCCCAACAGCCCAACCTTCCTGGGCGGCACAACTGGGGCTCCAGGGGAAACTCAAAAAAAAAAACGAAAAAATTGGTGAAATGATGCTAAGGTAGTTTGATCTCCTGGATTTTCTTCTATTTTTCTGTGATAGTCTCGTTTGCTTGTTGCATCCGATAAATTTTGGTCATTTACAGCTGAATTCCCATGACGCCCCCATGGTGCAAGCTATTTGTGAATCGACTCGCTTTCTTTTCTTGATCTCAACAGAATATTCAGGCTACACAATACCCAATGTCACTATGGAACGCAAAAGATGTGCTGTGGAAAGTTGCAAAGGCCTCATTGGGAATTCCATTCTCCAGCCCAATTTCTGACCCCGATAATAGCCACTTAGCTACGTGGTTGAAAATCCATGGTGCCAACTAGATGGAACACTAAAAAAATCAAATCACAAACCAGATGCTTATGGTAGAGAGCCCCAATGTCCAATAGTTTAATTATTCCCGTTTTCCCAAATTCACATCAAGCATGGTGGTGCAACTATTCCCCCATCGTGGGCATACCGAAATCCACCAGTCACCGGTGAAATCCCTATGTCTTATGAGTAAATCGCTACTTTTCATGGTGATTTTTAGGTGAGTTTGTCCTATCTCCGTTGACTAAATCGCAATGTTTACCCATCTTTCACGGTACAAATATTGTTCCATTGTTGGTCTGCACAACAAGTGACTGAAGGTCGCTCATCAGGATCTTCGGTCTGCTGGGGTCTCGACCTCCATGAAGGCCTCCTGGCGGATTGCTACTCGCGGAGATGGAGTTCAGCCAAGAAACATGGGGAGTCAGCCATCGCAAACAACAATGATACCATGGATGGAAGAAATCTTGCACCATCTTGGATGGTTGAAACCCTACGAATTCCTACAAATAAAGGTAAATCACCTATCAACTGGTGCAAGATTATAAGCAACTGGCGGGAGCTAACCGAATTGGAGCTACATATATATATATATGTGTGTGTGTGCGTCACCTATACAAGGTCTATATATGGGGCTGAACATGTTGGAAGAAAAATCCTGAATACACTAGTTCATCAATTCATCAACCCTGTTCCCAATTAGAATTGACATTTGGGGGAGATTCCCCTTTTCAGACACATCCGAACTAGCTTGTAACCGATCAAAATATGAGACTTCAGGATTCAATCCGTCAATACTGGGGTTAGCTATGGGATTTCACCAACGTGATGCTACGTGTCATAGAACCAACCATGATATCGGAATATAGTAGGATAGACGGTGGGTTTGTGCAAAGATGCAGAACTTTCCCAGACATATTATATTGTAGGGATGCAAAACCCCATGAAAATTAGGGATTTAAACCATGGGCCATGGGCCATCAGTGATATCGGTTTGTCTAAAAATATGGGAGACCACATCATATGGCCATATTCATGCCATATGGATGGAAACAAGATGATGCACGTTTTGCACCATGGAATTTGAGTCAAATGATTTGAACAAACCCATTTAAACCTGAGATGTGGAGCCACTATGGGCAACTGGGATCTTCTTAGTGTGGATGTGTCTTAAAATGGGATACACCCTCCAAATGACCAGTTTCTTACTGTGGAAAAGAATGAAAAAACTGAAACCGTAGAAATATGTAACTTATCTCAAAGCAATGTTGACCATGAGAAATTTGGGGTGTTCCCCTAATTTTTAGACAAACCCATTTGGCAGCACAGAAGTTCGGAGTTCGTCAACTCCAGTTCCAACATAGTGGAGTTCCGCCATGGGATTTCTGCGCTCCTATATCAACATTAGCGAGTTGGTTATATATACCCTCTGGTAAACTATCAGTTTGCTATGGAAAATCACCATGCTATTAATGGGAAAATCCACTATTTCTATGGCCATTTTCAATAGCTACGTTAAATTACCAGAGGTATGGCCATTTTCAATAGCTATTTTGACATAACCAGAGGGTATATCCATTGCATCCCCATAAAATGGTATTGTACATGATTCCGGCTGAATGACGATTCACTCACCTGAAACGTGCTGAAACTTGCAGCATTCCGTCGTGACGTCGCGACGCTTAAAGCGACGCAAGGTCATGATCAGATTCATCCAGATGATTGTAAGTTATACCTGGTTGGTGGTTGACCTACCCCTCTGAAAAATATGAGTTCGTCAGTTGGGATGATGACATTCCCAATATATGGAAAAATAATCCAAATGTTCCAAACCACTCTAACCAGTATACCCTCCGGTACTCAAACACGTCGTGCTGGATGTTCTCCCCCATGTTTTATCGATGTTTTGCCCAGCTAGGAAACCCCTATTTTCATGGGATTTCCCCATGGGAATCACCAGGAAATTGACCATGGAAATCACAGTCCAAGTCACCATGAAATCGCCATAAAATCACCATAACATACCCTCTGGTTATGTCAAAATAGCTATTGAAAATGATTTATAGTGGATTTTCATGGATTTTCCCATTAATCATGGTGGATCTTTCCATAGCTATGTTAAATTACCAAAGGGTATCCATCACCATAAAAATATCACCATGGAACATCCCACCATAGAAACTTTCTCCGCTCCTGCCGGGGGTGCCACCGCTTTGGTGCCGCCGCCGCCTGGCAGCTCCTTCCGCGCCATGATGTCCTGGCTCCAACGAGGGGAACGTTGGGATGGAAAAATGGGGAATTTGACGGTGGATGGGCCAGCGAAATCTTGCACCAATTGATAGGTGGTTCATCCCATTTCTTCCATACAGTATAATGTGGATGTTCATGGAATGGAAACATGTAAAATGGGTATGTTCACATCCCATGTAAAATTGTGTTTTTTTATATGATGCAAAAATGGCTGGATTTGCTGAAGAGGTCCCCAAGAAAAATATGTGAAATCATCTTTATAGATTCCCTTGAATGCTTGATGTTCGAATTGGGAAATTCAACCATCACCCCTGAAACAAACCCAGGAAGATGGAAAAATGCTTGGAAAACATGGAAAATGTTGGGATTTACCTGGCAAGACATGGAAAACTTTGCGATTTCACCAGCAAAGCAATGAAAAAATATGAAAAAGCTAGGTTTGGCCATGAACAAATTGGAATCTCAGATGATTTAGCCGTGAAAAAATAGAAAAATAGTGGATTTAGCATGATTTAACCAGCCAGAAGGTAGATTTTACCTTCAAATATATATCTTGATTTACAGTAACATGCGTTAAACAATGAATAAAGGGAACTTACAGTAACCTATGTAAAATATGTAAAATTATGGATCTAGCCATCTTGTCATGTCATTCCTTGTCGCTCTTGGAGCAAGTCTCACATTCGGCTGGTGAAACGGGTTGGAGGATCAACTGTTTTTGGGTCTAACCGCCTTACCCCCTGGGCCCTGTAGTTCACATCCCGAAAACTGAACAGAAGTGTCGTTTTCTGGATCTAAACAACAACCCAAGTTGGTCAGAACCCACCCCTTCTTTGGGTCCATGTGAACGACCCCAAAGCTAGGATTCAAATCTTTATTTATATACATCCAATTCATTTGAGGGATTAAATATGATTACATGTAAAAACCATAAATATGTTTCAGATTTGCAGGTATGAACTAACATTTTTCAAATAAGCTGTGTTCGAAACCGTCACTCATCCCTTCAAAAACTGTTGCAGACTGAGAAGAGGGTTCAAAGTTTTTTTGTCAGCTCATGACCCCATCAACAACCGGTTTATGAATCCTGGGTTGGCATTAGAGTAATCAATCAACCAGTGATCAGAAAACATGTCTGGTGGTTCCCGTTTTCGTGCCTGTCATCAACGAACCATTGATGGTTATAGTAAATCAAAAAATATATACACTCAACAAATACGTGTAACTATGTAGCTCTCTGGTGTCATCAAACACAGCTCGCTGGACAACCTCCCATTGATTTTTAGTTCGATAATTCTTCCAGCCAACGAAACCTCATGAAACCTCCATTTAATTAGTTCGAGGATTTCCCATTGAAAGCCCATTTTGCATAGGGAGTTCCCATCAAAAACCCATGGGAATCACCATTTTTCCATAGGTCACTGGTGGATTTCCCAGCACCACGTCGCACCTCTAAAGGCCCCAGAAGCAGATCAAAGGCTTCCTGCGTCCCGTGCCATGCTCAAAAAAAACGAGGAATATCCCCAGTTAGATACGGAAAATCTATACCCTCTGGCAAACGAACATAGCTATGGAAAATCACCAGATTTTGTTTAGGTAAACTATCTACAAATGGTCCATTTTCAATCGCTATGTTAATTTACTGGAGGGTCTCTATAATATATATATATATATCTCACTTATAGGGATGACTGTATATATAGTGGATAATTATGGATATAATCCCTATAAATGATGAATCTGGCTCAATTATGATCCTTTATATACAACATATGGATAAATAGATTGTGAATTATGGGTTATATTTTTACATATATTATCATCATTTATAAGGATTATTATGTACATATAGTTGATAATGAGTGATATATATATATATAACAACCCATAACCACATTATCACGTTGGTTATATATGCCATTACATCCCCACAATATATATATATATATGGATAATGATGGATAGAATCCTTATAAATGATGAATCTGGCTGAATTATGTGGTAACCCCCTAAAAAAGATAGAAAAGGCAAGTCCGACTTAAAAAGGTATATCTTACTTTTCTATCTTTTTGGGGGTTGCTGCATATCATTTATGGGTCAGATCCCAACAGCCCAGGTACAACGGAGGTCAATTGGGTAGATACAGAGTCTATAGAGGGAAAACGACCAGGTTCTCACCCCTCTTGTGGCTATAAGTATCATTTAACTAGATGGGCTGGAACAATGCTGCATGAATCTGGATAAATTAAAATTGTTGACCAACCTTTCGGCATGTGACGTCGCGGCGTGAAGTTGCGACATAAGATATTATCTAGACTATTGGTTAAATTCTCATGAACACCACTAATCCGACTTAAATCCCTATTAAACTTCCATTCAATCCCATTTAATAGCCACTGTACAGCCAGCATCAGCATGGTTGGATATGTATATACATATATATATATTGATAGAGAGATATTATGTATGTGGGTTTATCTGAAAATGGAACCCCCAATTCCAGTGGGCTTTCATGATTTTCTCTATTCACTGGCCACAAATGAGGGATTTACCCAATTTTCAGACACACCCATATATCCCATGATATTTTGAGTGTATATCGGTGTGTCTGAAAATTGAGGTATAGCCCTGAAAATGAAAAATTAACAGGAAAGATGCTTCACCAGAGGATCTAGGGGTTTTCCCGAAAAAACAGACAGACCCACATCTTGTTTCACTCAGCATTCTAGGTAATCGTCATGTATATGTATGTCCCATGATATTTTGAGTGTGTCGTTTTGGTGATAATCACTTGTTTATTGCTAAGTTATGTATCAACATAAGTCCAAGAACATGTAGTTGCATCATCCTATTGTATTTCCATAAGAAAAATAGTATGTATATATATATATAATCCCATAGTTCCATATACATATCATAATGAGTACACATTAGTATTACACATTATATAATATACCCAATACATTCTATTGTATTACTATGAAACATGACTATAGACTATACTATCCTGTTTATCTATAAATATATATATATATGGCATTACTATATTGTATTGCTACGAAATAGGACTATGAAACTGTATGTTACATGTGTATCTAGTGTTATAACTACATGATTCTTACTACTGTATATTCATAGGACTATGAAATTTTGTTATATTATCTATTATTATTGCTATGATGTGGGTAAAACAATGCCATAAACCATCCCCCCAAATCACCATTTTTATAGGTGGTATGTTTACCATTCCCAGTCATGGGTGGTTTATGACATTGCTTTACCCACATTATAGCCAATATCAATCAATATCAACCAATCATCTGGTATATTAATCAAATATCTGGTATAATATCTGGTATAATCAACAACAATAGTATATAACTCCAGAATACCATAGGATTTTCATGAATTGTTGCTATATGAAAATCTCACTGATCTCATGAAAATCCACCCATCGCTTTCGCCCGCGCAGCGCCGCGGCACGGCGCGCCTTGTCCAGGGCCAAGGCCTTGGCATCCTTGGACACCACCCGTACCGTGGCGGCGCGGGGCTCGTTGCGCAACAGGGCGCGCTCCCCGAAGTACTGCCTCGACCACGGCCCCAGGGAGCCCGGAGAAATGGCTGTTTAGAGGTTTGAAGATAGGGAAAAGAATGGTATGGACAAAAAATGAATTTAGATATATATATATATATATAGAAACCTAGAATGGGTATATAAATATATGGATATATAGAAATGAATGATAAATGGTATATAAATATATGGTATGGGTCTCAACCTAGAATTTAGAAACCATATATTTATATAGATATATCGATGTATATGTACATCTAGTGTGATTTCTAAATTGGGAGGGTCTTATAACGGAAGGTGCCCTAAACCCATAGTTTTGAATTGCCAACATTGTCGAATTGTCTGATTTTGGATGAATTTGGGGTCCCCCAGTTTTAGGCCACCACTTCATGGCAGTTGTATACAGTTGTTTAACAGGAAAAACATGGACACATTTGAAATTCTAAGCCTGAGATGTTGGGGTACCCAAAGCTCAAACTCTAAGTATGGTGCAGGGTGATGATGTGGAAATGGAGAGATGTGAAACAGCAGTCTGGATGAAAATTGTTGGAAATCAGCAGAAATCCGGGTCATCTCTTCCCAGACTTGGGCAGCTGTATTCTGGATGTTTTGCTTTTTTGTTTTCAAAAAATATGTGTATATATATATATAATTATACATATATATATATATATATATGGACACATAAATTCAACAGTTCAATTGCGGACCTAGCGATCTCAGATCCTCTTCACTAGGCCGGCGCTGCGGATGGTCCCAGAACGGGTAGCTCCATATTCCATGGCAAACTGGGTCATCGCACCAGTTCAAGTGGAGGGCAACATGCCCAATCTGAATTGGAAATCTTGAATATGGGACTACAATGGTACGAGTATCTTACACATCCCAATATCCATATGTAGGTTATTTATGATATGAAAGAAACATCAAATTGCAAAGCAGTTCTTGGTTTCATTGCAACATGAAACATATAAACATAGTTAAAAGATGTTGAAAGTGATACAATAGGTTCCTGGAGTCAAAATCAACTGCCGATCACTCGACCTGTCTCTTTGGAAATGCTCAGTTATAGTATTATCCCATGTACAACTGGGGAACACATAGATACAAACAGCATCATCATCATCATCATCATCATCATCATCATCATCATCATCATCTCAAGTAGCTATGAAAAATGAACGACATTTCAAAACCACCAAGCAATTAAACCTCTTATCCACATCATTTCCCGCTGTTGTTAGCGACTCCCAGCGACCTGTTCTACTACCAGCCACTTTTCTGGAGACCGAGATGAACAGTCCCATCCCATTATAAAATATTGGTTGGTGCATAGGCTGCATAATGCATAGGGATCCATTCTGCCCTATAATTATCATTGATTAATGCACCAATAAACCAGGTATAGAATGGTATAGATTCTTAATGACAAATCAACCATCGCTTATTAGCTGTAAGCTGGTGGTTAAATCATATATATATACACGTATGTATATTATTGTATATTTCTGAATTAAAAATCAACGAAATCAAGTTCTTGAACAATTAAAGAGCGCCAACAAATTCCCTGCAAAAAAAAGGCCACCGTTACGGTATTTCCATGTATTTCCCATGGCCTCAGTGATCCTTGAAAAGCCAAGCTGCGCTGTGCCCCGTTCCTCACTGGCCTGCAGACGGGCCTTTTCATCACCTGGAGGCGGCTTGCGCTGCGAAGCTAAGCGGAGGCTTGCTACGGGCTGAGTGAAACAAGATTTTTTTGGTCTGACAAAAAAAAAGCCACAACATCCAGCGGTTTATCATCGTTGATCATCATTCAATGGGAATTTCAGGATCCTAAAATAGAGGTACTGTACCATATGAGGCCATATTTTGTGGGGATATTTCCATGGTTCATCATAATGTTCCCCACAACGGTCCCGGCGGTATCCAAGGTGCCATCGATGGAAACGGCCACATCTCCTTCGAAGAGGATGTAGAAGGTGGTGCCCGGATCACCTGGATGGATTTAGGGCTTGGTTTCTGACATGAAGAAATGGTTGAAAAAATGATCCATGGATGCATGCTTCAAAATATCAATGAATATGGTAGAAATGGTTCAAAATCCAAAAAAAATGATGCTTTTAAGGTATGTGTTTCCTTATAAATGGATGAACCTTCCCAGCCATTTCGATGTCACTACAGGATCGGAGTTTTGGTCCATGGCCATGTAGCAACACAACGATACCTTTCACGATCAATGTGGTGCTTCACCCCCTTCCCGCCGACTTTTCCACAGAACCACAAATAACATGGGCTTCAAAAGTGTTTCAACCGTTGCATGCTGCCTTTCCTGTAGTATCATCTTGAATTTCACACATTAACCATCCGCATCCATGTTAACATTACCTCCCTTTACGAATTGATGAACCTTCATATTCCTTCCCCCTTCTCGTAAACGGTTTCGTAAAAAACCCATCAGGGATCTAACAAGCGCCTTGTGTGATGATCACGTCATTCTTGGAAAAGTGCTTTTCCATCAAGGCCTGGCTTTAGCTGGGGTGGACGACCTGAGACTCTGATTGGGTCATGTTGGGTCTATCTTCCCGTTGAAAAGAAAAAATCAATGACTACTGTATATCACTGTAATATGTAATGCTGTGAGTCTGCGATATTCACTCTAACGATATTCAGGGAGCATCCCCAAACTGAAGAATCCAGGTTCCAGAGGTTATGGACATGACATGACTGTGTTCTACACCCCGTAAAGTTTACGAAACTGCGAAACCATTGTCACATAATTTGTTTTAATTTGTATTAATGTGTCATATTTATGGAAATATCGCCATTATGTCTTGTCACCAGTGCGTTATCCAAACTTGGCTATGTCCAATATGCACATCATCTTTCAACATTCTTTATCTTATGCAATTCCGCGCGAGTTTTTTGGAGCTGTTCCACCCCAAGTTTGGATCTCAACTCAACTCCCTGAATTGTTTCGAACTGTTTCACGCAACAAAATTGCAAAAGTGCTCCCACATCAGCTCTAACCAACGTCCAGCCTTGGCCACTTGCAGCTTCTCCGCTGCCAGCAAACTATTGAGGATCTCCACTCGGCTGAGGTATTTCACGTACTCTTGAATCTTCCTAAGCTGGGGCAAGGTTTTTTCAATTGTGGGGACTCAAAACCCATGCAGAATGTGATTTCAAGCTGGGTAGTGTATAACTGTATAACCATTGAACTCTCAACATGCCATTTTTTGCATACCCTGTATAGAACAACATGCAACAAATAATCATCACTATGGCAGTTTATACCACTGTTTATGGCAACAAAAATATACCATAAAGCTAGCCCTTACCAAGGTTTGCTGAGATTGTTGCGCATCCTGCTTAATCCCCCCAGAAAATTGATCCAGTGACAAAACCCTATGTTTTTTCTGGTTCAACCACCATTTTTCGTGCTTAAATCACAATGAATCATTTGTTGATTCAATCCTATTTTTCGATGGTCATCTCACCACCATTCGCACAGAATTTTCACATCACCCTGTGATGAAAAATGTCCCCAGTCGGCCACCCCTTTGGCCAAGGGACTCATCTGAGACTTTCATCAAGATGTCCTGGTGAAATCCGCAACACGGCGGGGGATTTCTGTGGCAGAAAGAACGAAGTTCGATAGAAAAAAAATACAAAGCACGGTCCATGGTTGTTAAAACCCAACTGATGGTTGTAGAAAGTGAATCATCCAATAAAAAAAACAGAATGATTCGTAAATATTCGTAACATACGCTTTGTAAAAAGAATGAGAATAAATCCAGCTTAAAAGCCAAGCGATTTTGAAAAGACTTTTCTATCCTTTTGGAGGTTTCTATAACCTTCGGGTGGACCTTTGTCCCTTGATGGGAACATTGGCCCGTAGTTTCGGCTAGCTGGAGTGAAGATCTACTATCCTCGTTGATCAATGGTGATTCTTACCATTCATTGTGACGATGAACTCGTGTGAATAGTACAGTAGTTTGAGGGGTGAATACCCCAAGCACAACAGTGGGCTTGACCTGAGCAGTCTTCAAAACCAGAATTCTATTCCTGGATCCTGGTTGGTCAACGAATAAGGATTTGGGTTCATGGAGGATGAGGATGAGGATAAGGATGAGGATGAGGATGAGGATAAGGATGAGGATGAGGATAAGGATGAGGATGAGGATAAGGATGAGGATAAGGATGAGGATGAGGATAAGGATGATGATGATGATGATGATGATGATGATGATGATGATGATGACCCCCGATATTATATATATATATATATTTGAGCAGTGCAACCGTGTAGCTTCCAAAGTTGTCATCAACCAACCATCATTTATCAAGTATCCCCATATTATTGTTGATTAAAGGCGTTTTAAGATGTTTTAAGTCTATAAATGATGGTCAAATTTCTGTGATTTTTTTCATGTATACCCTCCTGTCAACTAACTGAAAATTAGATGTGAATTTTCCTCATCATTTTCAGATCATGTTTTCAGGAAACCCGGGCTGTGGCCACTCTCCTGGCCCCCGTTTCGGTTCCCGCCGCCTTAAAGTTCTTTCGATCGATGACCCACACCACCGAGTCTTCCTGGAGCAAAAGTTGGTATATCATGGTGGTAAATATCATGGCATATGATCATGGTATCATCAATCTTGATACTTATAAACCAATTTTGTAATGTATTGTGTATGTCAAAAAATGTTTATCATATAACTCCGAACCCATAAATTTAAGATATGTTGAGGTCTTCTTCATGTTTCCTCAAGATGAATCAATGTCAACGAAGGTCGATTTTTCGAAGTTATCCGGAAGCATGATTGCTTGGCGGATAGCAATGGGGATGTTGCTTCCAGAAATCTTCCGTTTCCAGGGATGAATGGATGAATACAGGTATGTTTATATGTACAAATATATACACATGTGTACATGTACATATAGCGATATGTACATATATATATATATATATATATACACGTGATATTATATATGTAAATACGTGTAAATATATACGTATATATATAATTTACATATAAAATGGATTTTATGTATATACATATGATATAGGTGTGTGTGTGTGTGCTACATTGTACATGTAATATATAGGTATTCGCAACGTCGCGCACAAAGATTTCCCATAGATTTCCCATTCCCGAGGGATCTCCTTGGCGACCACTGTGGCCGCACGAGGGACGAGGTAGAGCAGAGCAAGTTCTCCGAAGCTACCTACGTCGCGACCGTTGCGGTTGCGGCGTTGTGAAGAAAAATGATGATTTAAAGCGAAGCAAAAGGGGATTTCATCCAAATACCCTCTGGTAAACCCATTAAAAATGGTGATTTTCCAATTAAAAATGGTGATTTTCCATAGCTATGTTAAATTACCAGAGGGTATTCCAAAATTGAAGATTAAACCATATTAAACCAACATAACCAACCAAAATGATTAAACCAACCAAAATAATTGGGAGTTGACCATGCAGTTATTCCCAAATTTTGCTGGGTTTTTTTGGAGTTTTTTTCGATGCATCCCGGGTATCGTAGAATATCCCGCTGCTTACATATGGCTTGTCCCATGGCATATGACCCGCTAGTACCTGCTGTTCACTTCCCTATTGATATTGAATAGGGTCTCTTCTGATGTACAATATGTATACCCAAAATCATATAAATATCAAATATCTATACTATCTATAATATGAAATTGATATATATATATATATGTGTGTATTGAATATCTATCATTATCTATATACCCTGAAATCATCTCCAATCACTCTTGACGGTTGAATACCCTAAGCTTTGACCGTTTGAGTTTGCCATACACAATAAGGTGTGCCGGTATACTGTACCCCCTGGTATGGCAATGAAAATGATATCCAAAACATATTCAGTTTAAACCAATAGATCTTACGGTAATCCGCAAAAAAATGACAAACCCGTGTCCCCAAAAGGTGACAAATTCTGTGTGAAACCACAACGGATTTGGGGGGTGGTCCGAGCTGCCACCACTCACCACGGTTTGAACTAGCTGGCGCTTACTCCTTGGCTCAAATTAGGCACAGGGGCCGGTGAGTGTAGACCATTTGCAGTATCACTGGCTGATGGTTTCAACACAAATGAAAATACCATCATATATATATATAATATACATAATATATGTATATATAATATATAATATATCATATAATATATATATATATATTATATATATGATATAATATATATATGATATAATATATATAATATATATAATATATATATAATATATATAATATATATATAATAATATAATATATATATATTATATTATATATATACTATATAATATATATATATTATATTATATATATACTATATAATATATATATATTATATTATATATATACTATATATAATATATATCATATAAAATTTAAAAAATATATAATATAATATATATATATACATAATATAAATATATATATATATACAGAATGTATGTATGTATGTATGTATGTATGTATGTATGTATGTATGTATGTATGTATGTATGTATGTATGTATGTATGTATGTATGTATGTATGTATGTATGTATGTATGTATGTATGTATGTATGTATGTATGTATGTATGTTGTATGTATGTATGTATGTATGTATGTATGTATGTATGTATGTATGTATGTATGTATGTATGTATGTATGTATGTATGTATGTATGTATGTATGTATGTATGTATGTATGTATGTATGTATGTATGTATGTATATACACATAAAATAATCTACTATATATCATATAATATATATAATATAATTTAATATGATATATATAATATTACACAATATATATAATATATTATATAGAATATAATATGTATATATAATAATGTATATATATATATATATACATAATATAATATATATATACACAATATAATACATAATATATATAATATATACAATATATAAAATATGTATAATATATAATATTTTAATATATACAATATTTAAAATACAAAATATAATATAATATAATATAATATAATGTAATATAATATAATATACTTCAATATAATATAATATACTTCAATATAACATAATATAATATAATATAATATAATATAACATAACATTATATAATATAAGATAATATAATATAATATAATGTAATATAATATATATACTTTAAATAATATTTACGGTATCAGCATTTGTGTTTGTCACAATGTGGGATGAGCCAAAAGAAAGTCTTGCCTCTGCGGAAGGGAAAACCCCCGTTGCCATTTTTTTTACCTATTGGATTGGACCATATTGGCGATGAGAAATAGAGGATTGCCCTGGAGAGTTCGGAACATCTATGGACAAACTCAACATACTCAGGAGTTGATTTGTGGGACTTCACGTAGGCTGAAGCCGTCTGGATATGTCTGGTGCTACTTTTTCTTGAGGTCGAGCCAGTAATTATCCATTTGAACAGGGACAGGAGTAGATACGGTCAAAGCACAGGACATAAAATACATAAAACTTGGAGTTGCGCCGCTAAAATCTCTGATAAACATGTGACTTCTGACATAGCTTGGCTCCCCTGGTTTAGCCCTCACTAGGGTCACCTTTCAACGGCACATCCCATCAACGTTCGCCAGGCATCTCGTTCCCCTTCTCCTGAGTGCAGTCAAAATCCGGTGTAAACCCAAATAAGGGCTACATGGCTACCGAGGTACAGAACTGATGTATGTCAAGAAAAGCAGTTGGGGATACAATTATGTACTGATCTACTTGAAGTTGGTCTCAGCGTGAATCAATGATATCAATGTATCAATCGCCGGAGAGAGGTTGGTAACAGTTGGTCTCGGCTCTGAGAAGTGAGCAAAGCCAGCTGTGTCTCAAATTCGTTAGGACCCCGAAGTTGAACCCACTCCCTGAAAAAATGTACAGTTCTTCTTGCCAAACCCTTAGGTCCTTTTGGGGTTAATTTTGAGATATACCAACATACAGAAATTACTTGGATTTCGTTGCTGAAATCATTCTTTACGGCTGTAACCCTCGCTTTGAAAGATATCAAAAAAGTGAAGAGAGTCGTTGTAAAGCTCAAACCCACATTGTTTGTTTTGGTTCAGCACCTTCAACAACACTTACAATATGATTCTGGATGAAAATGCCTCAAATACACGGCTGAAGTTCTGATTTCTGGCCGGTTTCTGCTGCCTCTCTCCACATATATTGGACAAACGCAACTTTGTATCGTACGCATCACAGTTTGGCGACTGCCGTGAAAGGCCAATGGGTTTCAGCCTGTTTCCAGATGGTCAACATCCGATTTAACATAGCCATGGAAAATCACCATTTTTAATAGGTAAACCATCTATAAATGGTGATTTCCATGGCTATGTTAAATGACCAGAGGGTAATTTTCCCTGATGACTTCAGGATGTTTTCGTCGAACTTCCGATGTTTGCCCCCTGGCCTTTCCATTGTTCCAAGCACCGCCGACATTAGGGGTCAATATCTGAAGCACAAAAAAAAGGGTCGGCGCACAACACATGTTTTAAGGGCACTTCATTCCATTCCCATGGCCACCATCTTAGTCTGGTTGGTGGCTTCAACCAACCCTCTGAAAAATGATGGAGTTCGTCAGTTGGGATGACTATTCCATTCCCAACTGTTTCTGGAAAGTCTAATCAAATTCCATGGTTCCAAACCACCAAGCAGATATAATGACTACTAGTCTTGATGGCTATATGGCTATATAAGCTATATAATGGCTATATAACCTATTCCAGTCACTTCCAGTCACATCCAGTCAGTTCCAGTCACTTCCAGTCACTTCCAGTCACTTCCAGTCACTTCCAGTCACTGCCGCAGAGAGGCCGAGACGAAGATCTCGAACTTGCCGGATTGGCAGATGTAAAAATAGTCTGCTGCCAGGTCCCCTTGTGCAATGATCTCCTGGTGTTAAGAATGCCGGATGTCGATGTCAGGCGGTTTCATGTTGCATCACCATATATCATTGGATTAGTTTAGGGACAAGAAATCAAGCACACCCTGATATTTGATCCTTGTAGATGTACAAAACCATTTTAAACCAATCCATTGACATCTAGGATCACGATCCCAACTGACTATTTGACTATTGGATCAGTTGAAACAGATGGCTGGCAGTTTCCCAAAAAAAGGATTGGACAAGGATTTGCCGCTGCGATTTGAAGGGACTGTGAATCCTGAACATGTTGGTGTGCTTTCCATTCTTCTATATATATATAATATTTATGTATGTATACAGTATCAATATACAGGTAATGCCTAAAGATCTCATGACAACCTGCCCACAAAAATCCTCGGTGATGATTAAACCTGCTAGAAACTCACTCATACTTATGGATCTCACCAAGCTCAAACTAGGTTCTGCAAGTAAATCCGAACGCCTACTGAGTCTACAAGCCATGCAACCTCACCAAGATCGGCGTAGCGCACTGCCACTTCTTCTCAGTGTTGCAACGGTTTGGCCACTATGAATATGACACATGTTACACAGAATCCCCAAGTGATTTTTCCAGACTAACATGGTTTACTGTGAAACTCAACATGAACATAAATTTGTATATTTATATGATATTATATGTATCTCATTCTGATTGTATACGATTTCTCCATGACAATTTCTGTATACTTCCAGGATAGAAACATCAGCTTCTGGGGATCTTCATCCTCCAGGTGCATCTCCCTGTGTTTCCCCTCTGGCAACGTTCACCATTTGGAACATGGAAAAAAATGCCCGTTTAAAATGAAGTTCGATGAGTTGTCTATTCGAAATGATGATTTTCCATAGGTAAATACTAAACCCATTGTAAACCTATAATTGCATCCATTTAGCTGTTGGCCAAATGCATTATATCAACATAAATCCTTTTAGGTGTTGGTTAAATCCATTTTTTGCCTATAAATCCATATATCATCATATATCCTATCCATATATTCCAGTAGCTAACAAAAGAATACAGTTTGGCACCGTTCGTCGCAGCAACGTCCTTGCCAGATGCCACTTGTTCCTTCCACGCAATGTCAATAATCCTGGGAGAGGGCTCCATGAGCCAGCCATGACAAACATGGAATCATTCATGGAATACCCTCTGGTAAATTAACATAGACCCTGGCAGATAGGGGTTGGAAGACTAGTTTCCATTAAACATTGGTGATTTTCAAGGTCTATGTTAATTTACCAGAGGGTAATAGGAAAATAAGCGTTAATGAATAAAATTAAATATGATAAAATGGGAAAATATGATACAACAATGAATAATCATGGTATGATGGGATAAAAAAGCGGGGAAAATGTGGGATTCAATGATGATTTTCAATGAATTCTGGGAAAAAAGAGATATGAATGGATCATCATGGGATAATCTAATGCACATCGCAGAAAAATCAGGGCACATCGCAATAATCCCTGTGATGTTCCTTATGGAACAACGAAAGGTTCTTGGACCCAGATCCCAGGATTCACCGAGAAAAAAAGAGCCTCGAGAGGGTCCTATGGAAATGCGAAGATAAAATTGAAGGCCCGGGGGATCCCAGGTGAACCATCCAATTTGAGTAAGGAAATCATCAAAAATGGATTGGAAATAGGTATGGTTAACCATCAAGAATTTTGACATGTTTGACCCATACCCAAGAATTTGCAAGGAAATGGCGATATGGATATGGAAATGTGGAGAATCATGGCCAACATCCTAGGGAAAAAAGAACACGATTCAAAAAGGGCGGAGCTGTGTCTGAATTGCAGCTACCTGACTTGTGTAAGGTCTATCTAAGGCCTATAGTCAATTTCTACCAGATAGAATATTCAAAATTTTGAACTAAACACCAAATCCTCACAGATAGAATTCTGTCATACCTTTAAAGACAGATAGAATATTCCACGGACCCCGGTAAAACAACCAGCCGTACCTATGTAAAGTGCTTCAAAAAAGTGGGTATAGATAGCCATAAATAGCCACAATGCCTATGTAAAGTGCTTCCACTGAGGGTACAAATATGTCATGAATATTGCACCATACCTATGTAAAGTGAGGTTGACAACGTAGCAACTGTAACATCAGCAAAAGCATGTATCTAGATATATAGATAGGCTCAACCATAAAGCTCCTTTTCTGTTCGTCTCCTTTTTTTTCTGATCTTCCTTTCATGTCCCTTTCATTTTACTCTCTTGTCACTTCAGTTTCCTTCCTTTTGTCCTTCAAGTCATTCCATTTTTCTTATTATTGTATGTTCTATCATTTTTTTAAATCAAGTCGGATTTCCGCGCATGTTCGTTTCAAATTATGTTCATGGTCCTTAGTTCTTTTCATGATCTTCCTTGCTCGTTTATGCATCGGGGTGCCAATTCATTATGTGATAATGTGCAGCAGGTTTAAAGCGGTCTAGCTTTTGTGCATAGGGCCTCAGGCCTTAAAATGCACAAAAACAATGAGAACTGGTTCTGCTATAAAATGCGGTTCCAGCAAATTCCTGCCGAATTGGCATCCAAGTTCATCCAAATTCGAAGACCTTCAGAAATGCCTCTTTAAAAAGGGGACAGGAAATTCTTTTTAGAAAGAGGTATTTTTGAGTGAAGGTGCTCAAATATTTAATGGTGTTCTTCTTTTATAGCATTCTGTAGCAACAAAATACGGTGGCATTCTTTCGTAGCAATTCCTTAAAATTCCTTTAAATTCCTTAAAAATCCAAAAAACTCATCAAGATTCCTTAAAAATCATTTAACATAATTAAAACCCGTAAAAATCTTTCAAAGTCCGTCAGATTCCTTTAAGACTCTTTAAAAATTCCTTAAGCTTCCTTGAAATTCCTTTAAGATTCCTGATAATTCCTTTAAGATTCCTTAAGATTCATTTAAATTCCAAAAAATCTTAAAATTCCTTAACATCCTTTAGAATCATTCGAAATCCTTGAAAATCTTTCAAATTCCTTCAAATTCCGTCAAATTCCTTTAAAATTCCTTCAACTTCCTCTAAGATTCCTTCAAAGTCCTTAAAACTCCCTAAATTCCTTGAATTTCCTTATAATTCCTTTCAAATTCCTTTAAATTTCCTTAACATTCCTTAAAATTCCTTAGGATTCCTTCAAATTCCTTAAAATTCGCAGATCTAAAATGACATGCCCAATAAAATTGATATAAAGAGATCCTCGAAAAGCACTGGTTCCATTCTGCAATAAAGTGCTCCAAACACTCAATTTGTTGCAATAAAATTAGAATGGAATTTTAACATGTTAAAAATCATCAGGATTTCCCTGGCCAATAAAATGCTCAGACCAACCCCTTAACAATCTTAACAATAAAATGACTAACCTGACTCCAATTTTGAAATTCCAATACATTACGGATCTCGCTTAGACTATGCACAAGTCATCCATTTCTAGTGTGGAAATTGCCACGGGGATGTTTATGTGTCTTTTCAATTCTTTATTTCTTCCGATGTTCTGCTATCTTCCTTTCATTTTACGTTACTTTATTTGTGTTTATTTCATTTCCTTCCACTTTCCTTTCATGCGCGTTACTTCCATGTCCTTCCATTATCTATTCATATCCATATCCTTTCATTGTCCCTGCATGCCATGTCCAAATCCTCACAGATAGAATATTCCGAATGCATGACCTTGGTCACCATGGTGGTCACAATTTATATGTGTGAATATTGGAAAAAAACAAATATACACTCATACAAAAGCATTTTCTTTCGTGTTCACATTCCTTTCATGCCTTTCATTCTCCTGTCAGTTTCCTGTCAGTTTCCTTTCACTTCCTTCCATGTTCCTTCTATTTCCGTCAATCATATCTTTGTTTTACGTTCACCTTATTTAATTTCCCTCCTTTCCTTTTGTTCTTTCATGTCCTTCTGATGTTCCTCTGGTTTCCCTTTCCGTTCGTCTCATTTTCCTTCTCATTTTCCTTCTCATGTTCCTTCTCATTTTCCTTTCATGTCCCTTTCATTTTACTCTCTTGTCACTTCAGTTTCCTTCCCTTTTTCCTTCAAGTCATTCCATTTTTCTTGTATGTCCTGTCATTTTTCAAAATCATATCGAATTTCCGTGCATATTCGTTTCAAATTATGTTCATGGTCCTTGGTTCTTTTCGTGATCTTCCTTGCTCGTTTATGCATCGGGGTGCCAATTCATAATGTGATAATGTGCAGCAGTTTTAAAGCGGTCTAGCTTTTGTGCATAGGGCCTCATGCTTTAAAATGCACAAAAACAATGAGAACTGGTTCTGCCATAAAATGCGGTTCCAGCAAATTCACGCCGAATTGGCATCCAAGTTCATCCAAATTCGAAGACCTTCAGAAATGCCTCTTTAAAAAGGGGTCAGGAAATTCTGTGTAGATAGAGGTATTTTAGAGTGAAGGTGCTCAACTATTTAATGGTTTTCTTCTGTTTATAGCATTCTGTAGCAACAAAATACGGTGGCATTCTTTCGTAGCAATTCCTTAAAATTCCTTTAAGTTCCTTAAAAATCAAAAAAACTCATGAAAATTCCTTAAAAATCATTTAACATCATTAAAACCCGTAAAAATCTTTCAAATTCCGTCAGATTCCTTTAAGATTCTTGAAAATTCCTTAAACTTCATTGAAATTCCTTTAAGATTCCTGAAAATTCCTTTAAGATTCCTTAAAATTCATTTAAATTCCAAAAAAATCCTTAAAATCATTCAAAAATCCTCAAGATCATTCGAAATCCTTGAAAATCTTTCAAATTCCGTCAAATTCCTTTAAAATTCCTTCAACTTCCTCTAAGATTCCTTCAAAGTCCTTAAAACTCCCTAAATTCCTTGAATTTCCTTATAATTCCTTTCAAATTCCTTTAAATTTCCCCAACATTCCTTAAAATTCCTTAGGATTCCTTCAAATTCCTTCAAATTCGCAGATCTAAAATGACATGCCCAATAAAATTGATATAAAGAGATCCTCGAAAAGCACTGGTTCCATTCTGCAATAAAATGCTCCAAACACTCAATTTGTTGCAATAAAATTAGAATGGAATTTTAACATGTTAAAAATCATCAGGATTTCCCTGGCCAATAAAATGCTCAGACCAACCCCTTAACAATAAAATGACTAACCTGACTCCAATTTTGAAATTCCAATACATTACGGATCTCGCTTAGACTATGCACAAGTCATCCATTTCTAGTGTGGAAATTGCCACGGGGATGTTTATGCTTCTTTTCAATTCTTTATTTCTTCCGATGTTCTGCTATCTTCCTTTCATTTTACGTTACTTTATTTGTGTTTATTTCATGTCCTTCCACTTTCCTTTCATGC